TTTATCAGCCGTAGCTCTCACATCAGCCTGGCTCTGTGTGTGGTTAGTAGAAAGTTCTGAGTTTATTTAAGCTGCTATAGTGAGTGATGAATTACTGTTGTGGTGAATAAGCTTTCTTTTGCTTGTGATTATAATCAGTCTGTTTGTAGCACATCTCCCACTGTACACACATACAGTCTCAGACAGTTTCCTTCCAGAAATCACACACATATCAGTTCCAGGCCTGCTACTGTGTAAAACAGGATAGAATATTAGTGGATGCCTAGCAGTTGTGCTGGTCAGCCTCCCCTGGCATTCCCCCTGAACCTAATGCACCACCTCTTCATTGCAGCTGAACCACAAACCACATCCAACCACCACAGACCGAAACGCTGCTACCATTTATTTCACTGGACATAATTGTTGAATGAGGAATTGTTTAAATGAGTGTGCTTATTTGGTACAGGCCTTTCACAGAGTTATTATGCCTGTGAAAAGAACTGCAAGTGCAACTTAAAGTTATTGTGTATTGTGTATCTGCTAAGTAAAAAACACAGTGACTTTATCATTTTTTCTCTGGCCTACTAAACCAAAAAGAGGAAGAACAGTTTGAGCTGAATTTGTACAGCCTTCCAAAGAACACGATTGAGCCCTGACAGCTGATAGCAGAGATAGATCATAGGCAGAACTCAAGATACCACGTTTTTAAAACTCCACTCTCATCTGTCATCACATTGCTGCAGACATTAATTACTGACTAGCCACTCCCTTTTTTCTGTTTTATTTTGCAAATGATGTGCTTTAGTTACTATATATAATAATAATAATAATAATGGATTGGATTTACATAGCACTTTTCAAGGCACCCAAAGCGCTTTACAATGCTACTATTCATTCACTCTCGCATTCACACACTGGTGGAGGCAAGCTACGGTTGTAGCTGCCCTGGGGCAGACTGACAGAAGCGAGGCTGCCATATCGCGCCATCGGCCCCTCTGGCCAACACCAGTAGGCAGTAGGGTAAAGTGTCTTGCCCAAGGACACAACGACTAGGACAGAGAGCCCGGGGATCGAACCGGCAACCTTGAACCTGAGCCACGGTCGCCCCAAATAATGCCAATAATGTCTGCTATATAATTCAAAATAAAAACTGATTGCACATGCACTAAACACATTTGTCGTCTGCTCGCACATAACCCCTAGTGAGTATATGGTGGCATCTTATCCCTGACATATCACATCTTTTTTTTTGTGTAAAGGGGAACAGAAAATTCAGTCAACCATTTAGCATAATGAGGCAACTCATCTGGGACTCTCCTCAGCTCTTACTGGGACAGTGGCGCGGCTGCCCCTCTGTTGGTCTTCCATGGTCTCTTGTGTTCTGGGGGCCTCTGGATGTCTGGAGTTTTGATCTCCTCCATACCCGCTTCACACCCTGGAGGACGGGGCTGTGGCCCCCCCACACTCCCTAGCAGATCATTACATGGAGAAACCTTTGGAATGCAAGCATGCTGATCCACACAGGTATGCACACATGGGTATTCACAGACGCGGACTAAAGCTTTCTTGGCTGCTGCCTCAAAGCACACTGTGCGCTGTCTATCTTGCGTGCTGCACAATATCGTTTATTACTTAGTAAATACTGATATCTATGACTAGCTAGTTTATTGTGATGGTGCTTTGTTTTCTCTATTATTATGTTGCTCTTTGTTGTTTGCTGTCTCCTCTGTTTGTTTTTGTTTGTTTGTTTGTTTGTTTGTTTTCTCCATACAGGTGACCCAGGAGTTTTTTTTTTTTTTTTTGTCTCTCTTCCCCCCCTTCTCACCGTCTCTTCTCCCCTTTGGTTTTCTTTCTTTCTCTCCCCCTCTCTCTCTCATTCATTCCCCCTGTCCTATTTATTAAAAAAAAAAAAAAAAAAAAAAGCATAATGAGGCAATACATGGTTTTTGCTTTGTGTATTTCTCAATATGCTTTCAACTTTTAAAGTTAGTAACTGGCTATAAAATTCCAAAAACATACTATTCAATAAATTGTTAATAAAGTTCAAATCTTTTAATAGTGTTGGATCTATAAGATCCTGATATTTGGTGTCTCCTTTAGAGTCGAGAACCTGGTACTAGAAACTACCTTAGAAGTGCAAACAAGGAACACGTGAACACATGGTACATGGTAGAATAGCAAAGAAGCATGGCAATGGCTTACTTTACTGAGTGCCATGCTTTGTTTTCAGTTAAGAAATATATAGTTTTTGGCACAAAGATATTGATTAGTGTGTTTTGGTATTTTATTTGGCACATTTACCCACCAAATAAGGTCTGTGTGCATCTGTACCGTTGCAATTTAGCAAGCAAGAAAATGAATTTGTGCGTTGGTTCATTTATTCCTCTGGTTTGTAAAAACTGCATCTCATTTCCATCAGTTCTGCCACATAAATACTCTGGTCACAACCACCTTCTAACCAGAATTAAACCACAAGATGAAAACATTTACAGATGCATGCAGAAGTGAAAGGATGCTTTTCATTGTAATAGTCCAAAAAACAAGCTAAAAGTCTATTTTTTTCCTGCAACTTAAAAGGGAGTATCTTAACCTTGTTCCCTGTTATAGGCATATTCTTTGGTCTAATTATGTCAAAGCAAGTTTGTTCACCTTAACTATGGCCCAGCATGTTTTGCATGAACCTGCTCAGGACTGGCAGAAATAAATGATATGCTGCCATCCGGCCACTGACAGTCTCAAAAACCCAGACAAATATTCCAGAATTATAGCAATCCAAATGTATGGGGTTGTATGACTTTTTTTGTATGGGAAAAAAGTGAGTTTCTAAAGAAGACAGAAGTAAAACTAAACCTAAAAGAAAGCTTTGCCTGACTTGAAGTAACAGAACCGTTACTTTATAATGCAGAGAACAAGCTTGAATGTTCTGAATGGACAGGAAACGTAAACACTGATGCGGTTGAAGTTATAGCAGATGGTTGAGCTCAGAGTAAAAGGGAAGGAAGCATGGAAGCCACTGAGAAGAAGAAGTTATGGTCTCATCTATATTAAGCACAGCATCTCTTTCTTCTGCTTATTTGTGAAAGTAAAACACTGAAAGCTTAGCTGTGCATCAGAGAGCTGCAGAGCTGGATGTGAGGATGAAGCGCTCTTTGCTCTGCATGCTGGAGTTATTCTGTAAGTACATCACTGACTTTCTCTTGTGACCAATTTAAGAAACTATATTGGTGTAAATTAAAGTGTATGAGGTGGTTAACAAGTCTCTGAGAATTCGAATGGTATTACCTTGTGTCCATTTAAATCAGGGTATTGCGTTGGAAACACTGCTGTTTTACATTACTAGTTTAGAGCATATAAGCAAAGAAATTTGAGGATGAGTCTCCGATCTGAAAATTTACTTTAACCTCCTAATTTTATGACAGTATGTTTGCACTGAAGCACCGCAGCAATTTCCTAATGTTGTAAACCTGCTCAACATTTGGCAATAAAACCCTTTCTGATTCTGATTCTGATTCTGATTCTAAGACCCGAACTCTTCCACAGCATGCATTTTAAAGTTATCTTTGATATTTGGTTACATTGGGGCCAGATGAATGTAAAAACAAAGAATTACCAGATTTTTTTTAACTTATTTTTGTTTTTAATAAAAATAAGAGCCACTTATGAGGATATTAGTTTAAAATTTTGGTAGAACAGTAGCAGTATAATATCGTAAGTGAATATCAGGCCCTTGTAGAGCAAAATTGAGTATTTTGGTCTAAATAACCCAAAATGTGATGGGTTATTTAGACCCATCACATTTTGTGGACGCCAGGTCCTAGGAGGTTAAAAAATGTTTTAGTTCATAGTGAGTTGATTTGCTGCTGTTTTGATGATGTTTCAATCTTGATTTCAGTGCTCAGTACACTTTTCGATGTAAATGCTGAAGGTACGACAGTTTTTTTTCTTCCTGTTTACAAAGTATGAACAGCATTGATGTATCTCCTGTATCTTTCTGTTTATGTGTTGTCACGGCTGAATCAAAATCCAGACACAGACAAGAACTGACAAACTTATCAGGAGTTTACTTTCACAGACATCAGTAGCTGAGAGAAACAGGTGTCTATGGTAAATGTAGGGGGCTGATTATCCATCAGGAGAGAACCAGCTTTCTGATTTGGTGAACAAAGCCAGGAACAGGGTGAGTTAGAATTGATTTCAGTTGACTGACAGGAAGCAGGAGCGAGCGCTGCCCAGCACATGATGATAGAAGAATATCCAGGAAAACAGAGATAAGGCTCAGTGAGAGCCAGAGAGAATCAGATACACCTGAATCTGTCATGTGGCAGTGTGGAGATACAGGTTCCCAGTATTTGGGGCTGAAACTCCAGTGGCCCCAGCACATCTGAAGCTGTACCTGTACTGGAGGATGGATGGGGCTTAGGGAGCTGAACTAGCAAATGTAAAATATATTTAAAATTTCCTAACACATTTCAGTCTTGGAAATGCCAGGTAAGAGCCAAAGAGTGTGATTAACTGATACAAATGTGTATCTTTCTGTGCATTTGTTTCATCACCTTTACAAATAAAATTAGTGATCCAGCAGAATCCACTCAACAAGGATTAAACACCATGGGTTAATACTATTTCAAACAAGAAATAGTATTAACCCTTTCTACTTTAGCTATATGAAACATTTTAAACTAATTAATTACCATTTCTGTTTTGCAATGGTTACAGTATTGCAACCATAAATTATGACTACTTAACTTATTTTGTATATTCAATCATGTACTAACCCATATTCCAATATAAATTATCTTCACAAATGTATTTTATGGTGTGTGTGAACACACATGACCTCTCATACACACAAGAAAACATTTATTTTACTTTACTGAAACATCTTTACAAACATAAAAAATACAATGGTACAGCAATAACTTCTTACACGCAAACCAAGCTGAGCTATAGCTCACACTTAAGACAAAAATGTCCTAAACAATTAAATATATTCCCTTTATGAAAAGCAATAAAAATAAACATCTCCATCACAGCAGTAGCATATTCAAATTCCATCAGGTGAAAACACACACACACACACACACACACACACACACACACACACACACACACACAGTTTCAACCCAATTGTTACACGAGGAACAATTTTCTCCTTTTGTTGTATTTCTAACTTACAGAACATGACAAGGCTGTTGTGATAGCAAACAGCAGAACGATACCAACAGGGGGCAGTGTGACACTGACCTGTGACGTGAAGAACTCTGCCAACTTAAAATATGAGTGGTTCAGAGAAACCTCATCCGAAAAACCGTCAGCAATGTCTAATGTTTCAGAGAGAGTTATCTCTGTCTTGAAAGGAGGAAACTACACCTGCAAACCTTCAGGGGAAAATGTCATCATAACAGAAAGTGACTCAGTCACCATTCAGGAAACTGGTGAGTTTGAATATTTAAACAGAATAAAATAACAAATTATTTTTTACACATTTACACATGTAACAGCAGTGTGTGGCGTATTTATTAACCATTTCTAAATCATGTCTCAAGAAGTGTAATCAGTGGGTAAATGATTACTAATGTTCTTCATCTCAATATGAAAGCAAATATAAAACATACTAATTGCAGATAGCCACATCTGTTTTTAAGATCCCAAGTTTAAATATTAAAACTCTTTTAATTTTCAATCAGTTGGCTGAGACACCAACACAGATTCAAGACTGTTATATTATATTGATATTTGAGTTATCTTAGATTCCTGCAAACAAAAAAGAACATTTGTTCACCTGCTACTGAAAAGAGTGATGGTTTTCTTTTTCAGTTAGTAACAGGATCACAGTGACGCTGCAGCACAGCTGGTCTCAAGTGTTCAATGGTGACACAATCACTCTCAGATGTGAGATTCAGGGAGGTGAAGGAAAGGTGTGGAAATATGAATGGACAGCACCCAACACAAACAGCCCTCCAACATCCAGTGAATACAGGATCAGCAGAGTTTCAGTGTCCCACAGTGGAGACTACAGATGTCAGGGTAGCAGTGACTATCTCTTAACAGGATGGAGTGATGCCTTCAGACTGACAGTTTCATGTGAGTTGGACCATGATTCATGCTGACATTTAATGTTTTCATGTTTACATCTGTCTTAACAGGAAAACTCCAACAATGATCCAGCTGTCTGCAGGCAGCTCAGGACAACAGTTTTTCTCACTGTGCAAACAGAAAGGAGAGACACCATGGAGGCTCTTAAAATATCAGCAATGTAAAGAGGAATGTACAGAGATGACAGTTTGATAAGAGAATGATAAATCAGTGAAACCTATAGTGACGTTTTGTAGGCAGTGTAATGTGGAATAGGCAGAGTAATTTCTAATTTCCTTTTTGGTGTTTGTAGATAAATTATTAAAAAACTGTTTAGAGTGTGATCAGCACTTAAATTAGGTCCTGAGACAAGTGAAGATTTAACGTTTTACTTTTTTTCTGTAAACTCAACAGCAAGTAAACCCAGAGCCACACTAACAGCACAACGTTCAATCATACCAGCAGGGGGCAGTGTGACACTGAGCTGCTCTGTGGAGGGCTCTGCTGGCTGGAAGTTTGACTGGTTCAGACGTGATTCACAGTTTTCTGGAGCTCAGAAAATAGGAGCTGGAACATCAGAGCACACGATCAGTATTTCAGAAGAAGGCATCTATTACTGCAGAGGAGGGAGAGGAGATCCAGTTTTCTCCACAGAGGACAGTGCTGCAGTTACAATTCAGAAACAAGGTGAATGTTTATAGTTTTTTTCTGAAATGCAACAAATTCATGTTTAAATTAAAGTAAGACTTAATATATTTAAATGTATTTTTGCTCCCACATGATTTGTTTCTGTTTATTTGTTTGTTGAACAGTTCGGGTTGCTGTGAAACTGCAGCACAGCTGGTCTCAGATATTCACTGGTGAGACAATCACTCTCAGATGTGAGATTCAGGGAGGTGAAGGAAAAGTGTGGAAATATGAATGGACAGCACCCAACAAAAAAAGGCCTCCAACATCCAGTGAATACAGGATCAGCAGAGTTTCAGTGTCCCACAGTGGAGACTACAGATGTCGGGGTAGCAGTGACTATCTCTTAACAGGATGGAGTGATGCCTTCAGACTGACAGTTTCATGTGAGTTGGACCATGATTCATGCTGACATTTAATGTTTTCATGTTACATCTGTCTTAACAGGAAAACTCCAACAATGATCCAGCTGTCTGCAGGCAGCTCAGGACAACAGTTTTTCTCACTGTGCAAACAGAAAGGAGAGACACCATGGAGGCTCTTAAAATATCAGCAATGTAAAGAGGAATGTACAGAGATGACAGTTTGATAAGAGAATGATAAATCAGTGAAACCTATAGTGACGTTTTGTAGGCAGTGTAATGTGGAATAGGCAGAGTAATTTCTAATTTCCTTTTTGGTGTTTGTAGATAAATTATTAAAAAACTGTTTAGAGTGTGATCAGCACTTAAACTAGGTCCTGAGACAAGTGAAGATTTAACGTTTTACTTTTTTTCTGTAAACTCAACAGCAAGTAAACCCAGAGCCACACTGACAGCACAACGTTCAATCATACCAGCAGGGGGCAGTGTGACACTGAGCTGCTCTGTGGAGGGCTCTGCTGGCTGGAAGTTGACTGGTTCAGACGTGATTCACAGTTTTCTGGAGCTCAGAAAATAGGAGCTGGAACATCAGAGCACACGATCAGTATTTCAGAAGAAGGCATCTATTACTGCAGAGGAGGGAGAGGAGATCCAGTTTTCTCCACAGAGGACAGTGCTGCAGTTACAATTCAGAAACAAGGTGAATGTTTATAGTTTTTTTCTGAAATGCAACAAATTCATGTTTAAATTAAAGTAAGACTTAATATATTTAAATGTATTTTTGCTCCCACATGATTTGTTTCTGTTTATTTGTTTGTTGAACAGTTCGGGTTGCTGTGAAACTGCAGCACAGCTGGTCTCAGATATTCACTGGTGAGACAATCACTCTCAGATGTGAGATTCAGGGAGGTGAAGGAAAAGTGTGGAAATATGAATGGACAGCACCCAACAAAAAAAGGCCTCCAACATCCAGTGAATACAGGATCAGCAGAGTTTCAGTGTCCCACAGTGGAGACTACAGATGTCGGGGTAGCAGTGACTATCTCTTAACAGGATGGAGTGATGCCTTCAGACTGACAGTTTCATGTGAGTTGGACCATGATTCATGCTGACATTTAATGTTTTCATGTTTACATCTGTCTTAACAGGAAAACTCCAACAATGATCCAGCTGTCTGCAGGCAGCTCAGGACAACAGTTTTTCTCACTGTGCAAACAGAAAGGAGAGACACCATGGAGGCTCTTAAAATATCAGCAATTTAAAGAGGAATGTACAGAGATGACAGTTTGATAAGAGAATGATAAATCAGTGAAATCTTTAGTTTGTTAAACAGTCTAATGTGTCACATGCAGGGAAACTAATTAATTTTTGTGTTTGTAGATAAATTAATCTGTGAATGTTTAAAGTGTGATTAGTGCTATAAGAAATGTATTTTTTATGATGATTTAATTTTTTTAATGGTTTTGTTTCTTCAACAGCAAGTAAACCCAGAGCCACACTGACAGCACAAAGTTCAGTCATACCAGCAGGGGGCAGTGTGACACTGAGCTGCTCTGTGGAGGGCTCTGCTGGCTGGAAGTTTGACTGGTCCAGACGTGATCCAGTCTCTTCTAAAGCTCAGCTCATGAGAGGAAATGAAGCAAACAGAGTTATTAGTGTCTCACAAGGAGGTCTGTACCACTGCAGAGGAGGGAGAGGAGATCCAGTTTACTACACAGAGGACAGCAGTGACGTCGCAGTTCAGCAAACTCGTGAGTTCCCTCTATTATTTCAATGACTGAAAGATCACCCTCTTTGTTTCTGCATCTGTTAAATGAACACTTTGTTTTTCTTTAATGTGAAAGTAAAATTTTGTGGATCGTCTTCAAATTTCACAACAATGTATTGGCGTTGTGGGACATAGGTTGGCTAAGCACTTGAGTTTGAAATTCATTTTTGGGCCCAATGTCAAAGTTGTCCTTAATATATAAATAAAAAATAATCTAGAAACCATTTTTAGTAACATATAATATGAAACAGCATTGAGACAGCTGTACAACACACTATAATTTTTTTTAATACAACACCCTGTTACCACCCCATACATTTTTGCAGCTTCACATGCTGCATGAATATATCTTTAAATCTCAAGTTTTTACAGAAGCCACAGACTTCAGCCAATTCTGCTGCAGTTATTTGGGTAAAGAATAATACACAATTTTCTGTATAATGCATCAAGGTCAAAGGTCAGGGTCCCACTTTTCTTTTTCAATACAACATAATATGACGTCACAATGGCACAACAATATATTTATATGCTACACTATATTTCCATATTACTAATGCTGACATCAGCATAAAACGTTAAAGTTTTAGTACAACTCTTGCCCTTCAGAGGGAGCTGTGATCTCCGAGTGCTCTTATTATTATATGAAACAGAAATCATGATGCACTTCTCTTGACTTTGATTCTTGTCAATGGATATTTTTCTGTGAACAGTTCCCAGTAAGCCCACTGTGACCCTGAAGCCATCCTGGACTCAGATATACAGCGGTGAGACAGTCACTGTCAGATGTGAGATTCAGGGAGGTGAAGGAGCTCAGTGGACGTATGAATGGAGAGCAGCCAAGTTAAACACACCTCCAACATCCAATGAATACAGAATCATCAGAGCTACTGAGTCTGACAGTGGAGGATACAGCTGCCGGGGCAGAAGGGACTATTTCTTCTCAGAGTGGAGTGATATCATCACACTGACTGTATCATGTAAGTTGAACACATATGAATTCATAACAAATGAATCTGTGAAGTGTATTGTGATAATATCCTTTGTCTTTCAACAATACTGCAGCTTTTGTTTTGTTTTTTAGCTTACAAATAGCTTTGAATGTGGTTCCAAAAACAACAACACTTACAATGAAACATCTGGAAAAGGAAAAGAAAACCAATCTGTAATTTAAGGAGAAGTCAGATTATCTCAGATCTTCACCTATATATTTATTTATTTATTTATAAAAGTTGGTACAGATAGATGAAGGTGATGAGTTTTCAATGTAAAATGTTATTTGGCCGTTGTCGCAAGTCTATGAATTATTTAAAATGGAAACATTAAATCACTGTAAATACCTTCTTTGTCACTGATGACCAGTGTTGGGTAAGTTACTTTAAATTAGTAACTTAGTTACATTACTAGTTACTTCTATCAAAAGTAACTCAGTTACTTCAAGTTACTCATTACTTTCAGAGTAACTAGTTACTAGGGAGAGTAACTTTGGTTTTACTCAGAATTCTCTTGTTAATGTGTTGCTTCCATAACTGGATACCCAGCAAGATTGCCAGTCTTCTAGCTTGCTTACTTGCCACAAGTGCACTGTGCCACCTACCAATAGAAAGGAAAAGATAATGTGCACATTTCCACGAGAGAAATCCCACACCTGATTCTATCCTAGCCTGCTTTTTACATCCAACACAAAAACTGCAGTCATGGTGCTTTCGATTGTACTCAGAACTCGGAAATTCTGCCTTCCGAATGGGAAGATGTAGGTAACACCAGACTGCAGATGAGCTGCATACAGGGCTGGACTGGGACAAAAAAATCATCCTGGGCATTTTGACTAGAGACCGGCCCACCATTATAGGAAAAATCATAAAGCCTTTGAATGAAAACAAACACTGTTATGACAGTGATGTACACTGTTCTGATGGTATATATGTATCAATCTATCAATTGTTTGTTGTAAGACTCGGATAATTATTTTTTTAAAAGTGAGACATTTTAAATGAGAATAAGAAAGTATTTCCTTGTGCCCCCCTTTCCCTTTTAATGCCCTACATGGACCCCTGGCAACACTTTGCTAGATCCGCCCCTGCACAGTTACCAGCTGTCAGCTACTTAGAAAAGGATCCTGGTGTTATTTGTCTCTCAGAAACAGTTCATAACTTCCCTTCAACTCATTCATGTCACCTAAAAGGTAAACCTGTTTCTCCATCACCTGTTCAGCTCTGATGATTCAGAACCATATCATGACCAGCAGCTTTACAGCTGTGGCTCCAGCAAACATCAGCTGATACTAGAAATTAATATTAAATAAATTCTAACAACAGCTGATCAAGCTTAAAAGTGCTGCTGTTGTTTACATCCGCTGGTTTCCTCTTTCTGGCGCAAAGTGGGCGACAAATAAACAAGAGAGAAAAGCCGATCAGCTGATCATTGATCAGTTTCATGATTGAAGTAGAAACAGGAGAGGGAGGAGTGAGAATGAAAGAAGAAGAGGCAGCTGTGCAGCGTAAGGACGCAGAAAAACTCCAGCTTTGTGTCTTTTTCCATTCTAGCTGAAGTCCAGGACAAACTGTGTTCCTTTCACCTCAATACGAAACGTGTAATATTTTCTCTGAATACGAGACGATTCCGTTTTTTACGGTTGGCAACTCTAATAATTAACCTTATGAACAAAATAAAGTTCAACATCAGTAACATAGCACCCACCCAGCTGTATAGAAACTCCGTCATGCTAGCTAGCATGCATTACGAAAAAGTCAGCATAACGAAAATAAACTCCATCTAAACTTGGTTCATATCTGACCCAGATGGACTGCAGGTTATAACTTCTTACTTGAAGTTCAGTTCACCTGACACTCTCGAACCAGCGGCCGCTTCAGGTCTCTCCTCTTGCCTCCCTTTTCCTTCATCCACCTGCTGGCTTCCACCACTTGCTAATGTTATTGAATCTGTGGAAGCTCCGCGATAGCCACCACATGAAGTAACGAATAACGAGCCTATCTAAATCCCAGTAACGAGTAACGCGTTCCTGATTTTGGCATAATAACTAGTTACCGTGCTCGTTACCACAATAATAACGTAGTTACTTAATAATGCGTTAGTCCCAGCACTGCTGATGACTGACAATCGGTGTTTAGTGCAAGGCTTGTTATCTTCCATTCCCAAACAATCACAGGGTATTTAGTTTGTAATAGTTGTTGTAGAAAAATGACTTTATAAACTCTGATGAGGACAAATAGTCTGGGTGTAAGAATAATGACACTCTCCCACGCCAGCAGAAAGAAAAGAAGCAATTCTGTGCGTTGTGATGATTAAAATATGAATCAAAAGGAAACTGAGATGATGCAGTATTCAAAACTGTTTTATTTGATATTTGTCTTTCGGTCAACGAATAATAAACCACAGGAGTAATTAGTCCTGATAAATTACTCAGCGAGTGTTTAAAGTTTAATCACTACTATAAGAAATTTTCTTCGTGAAAAAAGTGATGATCTAATGTTTTACTTTTACTCTAAACTCAACAGTAAGTAAACCCAGAGCCACACTGACAGCACACAGTCCAGTCATACCAGCAGGGGGCAGTGTGACACTGAGCTGCTCTGTGGAGGGCTCTGCTGGCTGGAAGTTTGACTGGTTCAGACGTGATTCAGAGTTTTCTGGAGCTCAGAAAATAGGAGCTGGAACATCAGAGCACACGATCAGTATTTCAGAAGAAGGCATCTATTACTGCAGAGGAGGGAGAGGAGATCCAGTTTTCTCCACAGAGGACAGCAATGACATCATACTTCAGCGAACTGGTGAGTTTAAAATTTTAATTTGGAACAAAACAACAATGTCTGCGCAGGCATAGAGTAAGGAGTTCATTCTTCTTCTTCTTCTTCTAATTAATATTACAGTGTTTGAAAAATGTGATTACCAAAAATGTGAGTGCTTGTTATTGAAAATTATTAAATCATGTGTCATGCAGTCTAATCACTGGAGAAATTATGTCAAAAGTTATTGATCTGAACAGAAAAGTAAAATTACAATTAAGATTTTAGGTTGGATTTTAAAAGAAACTTTCTTTTTTTTTCATTCATTTTGCGAGGGAACCAAAGCAGAGTCAGCTACAGAGGTCTATCAAAATGTTTAAGTACTTGGGTCAAACGGCTGAGTGTCTGCACACTGAATGAATCATTATATAATATTATATAATATTATATTATATTATGCAAATACTATATAATATTTTAGTTGCTTTTAAACATTCCTGCACAACAAATCAGCATTCAAATAATTACGATAAAAACCTGCTGCTGCATGTTTTTCTTTGTTAGTTCGTAACAGGATCACAGTGACCCTGTATCACAGCTGGTCTCAGATATTCACTGGTGACACAATCACTCTCAGATGTGAGATTCAGGGAGGTGAAGGAAAGGTGTGGAAATATGAATGGACAGCACCCAACACAAACAGCCCTCCAACATCCAGTGAATATAGGATCAGCAGAGTTTCAGTGTCCCACAGTGGAGACTACAGATGTCGGGGTAGCAGTGACTATCTCTTAACAGGATGGAGTGATGCCTTCAGACTGACAGTTTCATGTGAGTTGGACCATGATTCATGCTGACATTTCATGTTTTAATGTTTACATTTACATCAGCTGATTTAAAAACTCAAGCACAGCCTGTAATATTGATTGATTGATTGATAATACTTTATTCATCCCAAGGGAAATTGGGTTAAGGCTGCCAGCCTTGCCAGTGCCATCTCACCCTTCCAACCATACATACATTGCACAAACATCACGGGGAAGACAGGTCAGAGAGGTATAACAATGGAAAATGCACAACATGGTGATAGACGTGGAGAAAAAAGAACTCCCCCCAGACTGAGCTCCAACAGGGAGAACAGTTTGAGAACAGAAAAAAACACCTCAGCACAAAGCATAAGAATCATCACATCTCACAACATAGAAGACATAAGGTTTGAAGGTGTTTGGAGGGGTGGGGTTGAGTGTAGGTCTGTGTCAGTGTACATGCTTATGTGTGTGTGTTCCGTATTCAGCCGAGAGAAAGTGTCCCTTCACTCAGTCAGGCAAAAGTCAACAATCTTGTGTCGACGTAGGTAGTGTTCAAGGAGGGGGGAGAAAGTCACAACAACAGTCTTGTTATCTAAGTAGAATTTTTGTTATTCCCGTCAGCTTTTGCCTTGAGCATCCAGTGGCGCTGGGGGGGCGCATGAGATGAAGATGATAGTTGTTTTGGTTAGTGCGAACAAACTGCATCCAATTTTACAGTTGGTCTAATGTCCATCACTTAGGGCTGCACAATTAATCGTTAGAAAATCGCGATCTCAATTCATACTTACGTGCAATCTCATTTCCAAATGACAACGATTTAAAAAAAGAAAAAGAAAAGATGACGATTGACGATGACCGCATTTTGATCCGGGACATATTCTGCATGACAACAAGCGCTCACTCTTCCTGCTCAACAAATGACAGGAGCGGAGCCTTATACCACGTGATACAGAAGCCAGCTGGCAGGGTAAAAACAACGGAGAGCACGTGAGAGATCACGAAGCTGGAAAGGCCAAGGAAGTCACAGGAGAAAATCCGTCCTGGTCAACCACCCAAACATCAATAACAAGAACCTTATACAGCGCTTCCCCATACCCGTTGAACTCCCGCAGGCACAAAGAAATTACGGAGGCTATCACTTATCACCCGGCTAAAGATATGGCTCCCATCAACACTGTGCAAAACGAGGGATTTGGGAAAATGATCAACACCCTAGACAAACGCTACACAGTGCCGTCCCGCAGCTATTTTTCAAATGTTGCACTACCTGCTCTATACACGCAGTGTCGAGCAACGGTGGAGGCGGAATTACAAGCATTACAACATTTTGCGGCAACAACAAAATGTGAGACATTTATTTTTATGTTCATTTACTGTTTTTATGTTCAGTCTCAACTGTTACGAAATTGATGTGCAGTTAATAAGTGCAATAAATATTTATATTGGAAAAGAAAATCGTGAGAGAATCGTGATCTCAATTCTAAGCCAAAAAATCGTGATTCTCATTTCATGCAAAATCGTGCAGTCCTACCATCACTGGTCACCAGGTGTCTCAATTCCCATTCTTCTTCTCCAAGATCTTATCCATATTGTGTTCAATAAACACAGTCTCACAGTACTCACAGCCCTGCCCATCATGTCAGCCAGCCTTGTGGGATTTTGAACAGCTGTGAACAGTGTGTGAATGTGTGTGTGAATGGGTGGGTGACTGGATGTGTAAAGCGCTTTGGGGTCCTTAGGGACTAGTAAAGCGCTATACAAATACAGGCCATCTACCATTTACCATAGCTGTAGCCACTTCTTGTTCTTCGCTAATTCCAGGTCCGAGCCAGCTCCAATCAGCCAGAACTCTATAATCGTGGTTCCGAATTGGTAGATGTCGCTCAATGTCCTCTATCGAGAGTGGCAAACCTGTTCTGGGCCACCAAAGGGCCGTCATTCTTTGCGGTATGTGGGCCATGTGCAGCACTGGACTGGGACAAAAAATCGGCTCCGGCATTTTGACTAGAGACTGGCCCACCAGGTATTATAGGAAAAACCATAAAGCCTTTGAATGAAAACAAACGCTGTTGTCACAGTGATGTACACTGTCTTGTTGGTACATATGTATCAATCTAATAAACTTAAACCTACACCATCCTCCCTATTCTGGTATTCTAAACAGTACTTAGCCGAAACCCAAAGAGTTGGTCGAGTTAACCTCCTGAACTATCTACAACACATGGTGGAAACCTAAAATTAAGCCAGAGAAGACTAGAGGTGAGACATGATCATTACTGAATATTAAAAATAATAAATGACAGACTTAGTGATATTTTCATAAATTATTCATTTACCACATCAATAAACAGCATGGCAGGGCAAAATATTTTGTCTAACATGTGTAGCTGTTGCTGTTCTGTGAGTCTATCGTGCAAGTGGTGTGATATGCCCATGTAGAAAGGACGGCACTGCAACGCTGGACTTGCCCTTACTCTGGGCTCCCTCTTTATTCTGGCAACTGGTACAAAGTAAACAGCACACAGTCGTCATTAACAGTGTGCAAAGCAACTGCAACATTCAGTTCATCAGCTTGGGAGTATTTTCCTTTTTCTTTCCAAACATAACACTTAACAAGATATATTTAAAGAACACAACATCAACAAAGTCTTTCTTTTAAAAGTTCTAGCTGAAACCAAACCTGTGATTGTATAGTAGCAGTATTATTTATTTATTTTTCTCCTTGTGGTAAATGAGTGATAAGAGACATTATATCTCCTTTTTCCTAACCAACAACAACAACAACAATAACATATAAAAACAGCTTTTCTATTATAAAACAATCATCATTGTTCATCTTTTTTTTTCCTATACAACAGCATCAATTAAAACTTATACTTAACAGTGCCTACCTGGTACAAAGAAAACAGCACACAGTCGTCATTAACAGTGTGCAAAGCAACTGCAACATTCAGTTCTGTTGAAAAGAATTAGAACAATGACAATCTCATAGAGAAACATTAAAGCTGAGTGCAAGTCAAAAAGCTAACGAGTACTAGCTTAGCATGCTAACTAAAAATGCTACTCGTGAATAAAGTTAGTACCCATGCATCAAAATGCCTGTAGCTTTCAGGTTACATGCTAGTACTGCTTACAATCAAAATACACATTGACAATTACCACTATAAGAATGTTTTCATTAATACACATACAAAACTGACAACAGTATCGCTCACAAGCATCCCCCCACAGAGCGACAAAAGGACCCCCTGATGATCCTCTAATCCTTTTGTCCCTCTGTGGGGGGATACTCCCACTAGGTTTATATCTGGGACTCTCCACCATTTGACCTTAGAACTGAAGAAGCTTCTCGGATGAGAGGTGAAACGTCTTCAAGTAACTTAAAGAAGTCCAGACGCTTTTCTTTGCAAGCTCCTTTGACTACGATGACCTGGATGACTGAGAACCTTCACAGACATACTACTATTAAATTGTACTATTTTAACCCCTGGGGCATCCTAGAAAAATGCATACTATATTAAAATAGAACTATTAATAGTAGTGTTTTATTATTTTTAACTACTATCAAAAACGTTTTTAAAATAATTGTTTGGGAAAAGGAAGATAAACCACGTTGCATTGAACACTTATGGTCGGCCATCAGTGGCAAAATTCCCACATTGAAACTGACTGGAAGTTATTTACGTTGATTTAATGTTTCCATTTTAAATCATTCATAGACGCGCAACAACTGCTAAATAACATTTTACATTGAAAATTCATGATAACACTCACCAGACTCCAACAGAAATAAAGGTTGTTGTTTAGTGCACTGAAACTATTAAAATATTAATGAAAAGGGAAACAGGTATGATGAGAAATTTAAAGCTGTTATATCCGATATTTCTCTTTCAATAAATAATAAATCAGAGCGAGTTTGATTTTGTAACATAGTCCAATATGTCACATGCAGAGTAATTAGTCATTTCTACTAAAAGTGAATATTTAAAGTGTGATCAGTGCTGTAAGAAATTTCTTCCTGAGACAAGTGACAATCTATTCTACTTTTTCCTGTAAATTACTTGCAGATCAACCCAGGGCCACACTGACAGCAGGAACAACCATCATACCAGTAGGGGGCAGTGTGACACTGACCTGCTCTGTGCAGAGCTCTGATGGATGGAAATATGAGTGGTTCAGACGAACCCAAACAACCTCTGAAGGTAAAATCAGAGGTCAACAAAACAGAGATATCAGAGTATCTCAAGGAGGAATCTACCGCTGCAGAGGAACAAGAGGAAACCCAGTTTACTACACTGATAGAAGTGATGATGTCACCATTGAGATAACCTGTGAGTTCAGTCATTTAGTTTGAAATATACATTCACTCATGATTATCAAACATACAATGTGAAGTTTTCTGTGTTGATTTCATGTTTCTGTTTGTATCTCAACTGTTAATATGTGTGAACAGTTTCCAATAAAGTTGTTGTAAAACAACAACCCAACTGGCCTCAGATATTCAGAGGTGAGACGATCACTCTGACATGTGAGGTGCAGGAAGGAGGTGAAACCACTGAGTGGTGGTATGGATGGAGAGGACCCAGCACACCCACACAGTGGACACACAATAATGATGTGACATTCAGAGTTTCTGAGTCCAGCAGTGAAGACTACATGTGTAAGAGTCGACGCAGAGATGACTCATATTCTTCAACAGAGTGGAGTGAAGCCTTCACATTGTCAGCATCAAGTAAGTCATGTTTGTTGTGTGATCTCCATTTGACAAATGTCATCATGGTCAGCACAGGATGAATTCAATGGTCTACAAAGCATGTTACATTGTTAGTCAGACAAAGAGCTGCAGCTGATAGTAGCCTCATTGTAGACAGTTTGTCACCACTTTGTGTCACGAACTTTCAACTGGTATAGAGACGCCAATGCTGACCTGCTGCTCCATCACCTGAGGACACTAATGATATAAACAGGATGAAAATATAGTATAGTATCTGCACGTTATGTACAACTGGCAGATAGAGGAAGTGGCTGACATCCAGAAATCCTACCAGTGGCTGGACAAAGTTGGACTGAAAGACAGCACAGAGGCACTAAGCATGGCAGCACAGGAACAAACTCTGAACACAAAATCCATAGAGACTGGGCTCTACCACATCAGGCAAGACCCCAGGGGCAGGCTATGTAAAGATGCTCCTGAGTAGAGCTGGGCGATAGAACAATAACGATATGTATCGCGATATAACTTTTACTCGATAGAGAAATTAAGCTATCGCGATAGACCTCGCCGCTCTTGTCCTCTTAAAGAAAGAAAAAAAAAAGGTCAGCCAATCCAAATTAAGTAGCGCAGAGCCGAACCAATCACAGCCGCAGCGTCACATCACGTGACTTGTTACGTACAGCACAAGTGCCAAGCTGCACGTGTGTTTGTTTGGGAAGCAGCCAGCGGGTAATGGAGCCAGCGCGTAATGGAGCCAGCGCGTAATGGAGGAAATGAGTGTGCCGACTAGAAAATTCAACCGAGCGTGACCGAAGAAAAACCAGATGATGGTTCCAATGCCGGAGAGATTGTCGAACGGAAGAGCCATAGAAGTTCCGTAGTGTGAAGGTATTTCGGCTATTTCAAGTCTGACAAAACCAGAGTAGCGTGCACTGTAAATTGTGTCGAAAGCAAGTCTGGAAATACAATAAACTGGTGCATGCGTCACACTGTGCGCCACGTTATTGTTTCGGTGAAATGAATTTCTACAATACTGTTACTGTTAATTCTACTCTCTGCAGTGTTTAAATGCTTACATATACACACAGTTACTGTCCGTCGACACATACGACTCTGTTCTGCTTCTATGCCCCAGCTTTGTTTACTTTTTCCCACCGAGGCTTCTAGACTTCTGATTGGCCAACATTTCTGCACAGTTAGGAATCTAGCTCCACCTGCTGCTTTGGCATGTTCATAGCAGCGTCTTCCTTCATTTCTGCCTTTATGTGTGGACGGGATTATTTTTTAAAACGAAAACGGAAAATCTCCGTTTTCAAAAACACCCGTGTACGTGTGGACGTAGCCTCAGTCTCTGACTGGAAGCGCTAATTCGTCATTCGGCTTTTGTCAGACTAAAGTAACTGTTAAAACTGTTTGAAAAGCTAAGCTATACAACAAGGAGAGATTGAGAATTTCCTTTTAGTTCTCAGTTTATTTGATATTGACAAAAGTTAGTCAGTTTTGTCTGTTCTTCTGTAAAACAAACTAAGATTTATTTTTAGAATTAATATTTTGTTTCTAAGTGGAATTGACAATTTAGTCTGTTTCGTTTGTTCTATTTTGAAACTCAAACGCTTTAGCGGCTGCCTTTTGTGTAGTTTGCAATATTTGCCTTTATTTATCTGAAAAAGTCTCATGTTCCTGAAGTACCCTGTTGAACTTATTATGGTAAATAAATATTTAAATAAAAACAAGCTGCTGATTATTTCACATTTTACTTGTGAGCAACGGCACATTTAAATCTTACAAATATAGTTATTTGGCTTATATCGTGATAGATATCGTTATCGTCTGAAATGAAAAAAACATATCGTGATATGAAAAAATCTCATATCGCCCAGCTCTACTCCTGAGACAATCCAGCACATAACAGCGAGGTGCAAGATGTTAGCAGGCAGGGCACACATGAAATGCTATAACCAAGTGGCCGGCATAGTATACAGAAACATCTGCGCCAAGTATGGCCTGGAAGCCCTGAGGTCAAAATGGGAAACCACCAATGTTCCCTCTAAGCTGCACGCGTGCACAATTGCGCACTGCTGGCCCGGTCTCTGCACACAGAAAAGCTGCGTTGCACACAAAAAAAAAAAATCGAATCTAAATTGAAATTAAAATAAATACGTTAACAATTCATTCTCTTTTGCAGTGTGAGTCAGAAAGTGACCGGTGACTGGCTGCTCCAGTCAATGATGCGATTCACATTCGTATATATGCAGCTAATCAATGTCGCTGACAGGCTATGACAGCGTCTCTATGTGCCGACACCGGTGTTTTAGCTAGCAAAGCGGCGTGGCTGATGTGGAGTGAAGCCACGTTAATGACAACGTGTACAAGCATTGGGGATGCGAGGAGGACAGACAGAACAATTGACCGTCAAAGTGTGGACTTTATACCAGTTTTTAAATTCTGTTAATAGGTCACGTAAAAGCAGAGTTATAATAAAAAATATATGCAATGTTCGTTTTTTTTCCTGAATACTATTGTTGTTCATATTTACTGCGGGAAGAAATGCTAAAAACAGAGTTTTATAAGAAAAATGCTCGAAAGCACTCTCCGCCTGTGAGCAAAAAATCCCCCTAAAAACCCCACCCTTTCCTATTGGTGGAAAAATGGACCATGTCGACCCATCAAAAAATGATACGGCAACATGGCATTTAATTGTATAGGAAGTTGGTAATTTTTAGGAGTGACGGTGGTGTTTTGAGATGTGAGAGATTTGCGACGTTTAGTGTGTTTGGAGTCTAAAGTTAGTGTGTAGTGTAGTCAATAAGATAAGATAAGATAAGATAGAACTTTATTAATCCCTCGGGTGGGTTCCTCTGGGAAATTCGACTTCCAAAAAAAGCACAGCAACGACCAAAGTTACAGTTACAGAACTGTTATATATATATATATATACACACACACACACACACACACACACACACACACACACACACACACATATATATAAATACAGAGACAAATATAAATAAAATATACAAAGGGGATAAATAGAATAAATAGGAATAAAAAATAAAAATACAAGTGAATTGCACATCTCAAGTATTGAGTCTATTGCACTGTTGACTATTTACAAAAAGTATTGCACAAGGTATTGTACAGTGAGGTGAAGAGGCACTACAGCTTAGTTGTTCCCCCCTCCTTTGTCCTCCTGTTTCCCCTCCCTCTCCCCTCCAGAGAGAAGTTAAACAGTCTGATGGCGTGTGGGACAAAGGAGTTTTTAAGTCTGTTAGTTCTTGTCTTGGGGAGAAGCAACCTGTCACTGAACAGACTCTTCTGGTTGTTTATGGCCGTGTGCAGAGGATGCCCAGCATTGTTCATAATGTCCATCAGTTTCTTTAATGTCCTTTTCTCTGCCACTGTCACCAGAGTGTCCAGCTTCATGCCGACCACAGAGCTAGCCCTCCTGATCAGTTTCTCCAGCCTGGATGAGTCCTTCTTTGCTGTGCTGCTCCCCCAGCACACCACAGCATAGAAAAGTACTCCAGCAACCACTGACTGGTAAAACATCCTCAGGAGCTTCCTGCAGATGTTAAAAGACCTCAGCCTCCTGAGGAAGTACAGTCGGCTTTGGGCTTTTTTATACAGGTGCTCTGTGTTGCATGACCAGTCCAGTTTATTGTCCACCCACAGCCCGAGGTACTTGTACTTGTTGACCACCTCCACCTCCTCCCCCTCTATCTGAACTGGCAGTGGACCTGCTCTAGACCTCCCGAAGTCCACAACCAGTTCCTTAGTCTTTGAGGTGTTGAGTTGCAGGTGGTTTGTGTGACTCCATGCGACAAAGTTCCTCACCAGACTTCTGTACTCCTCTTCCTGATCATCCCAGATACACCCCATGATGGCCGTGTCATCTGCAAACTTCTGAATATGGCATAATTCAGAGTTGTAGCAGAAGTCAGAGGTGTACAGGGTGAAGAGAAGAGGGGACAGCACAGTTCCCTGTGGTGCTCCTGTGCTGCTGACCACTGTGTCAGACGTGATGTCCTTCAGCCTGACGTACTGTGGTCTGTCGGTGAGGTAGTCGGAGATCCAAGCCACCAGGCAGGGGTCCACCTCCATCCTGTTCAGTTTTTCCTGAAGCATACAGGGCCGGATGGTATTAAAGGCACTGGAAAAGTCAAGAAACAGGATCCTGACCGTGCCTTTTCCCCCATCCAGGTGTGAGTGGGCTCTGTGTAGGAGGTACAGGATGGCATCCTCCACTCCGACACCCACCTTGTATGCAAACTGTAGTGGGTCCTGGGCATGTTGTACCTGTGGTCGGAGGAGGTTGAGGAAGAGCCGCTCTAGAGTCTTCATAAGATGTGACGTCAGTGCCACCGGTCGGAAGTCATTCAGCTCATTGGGCCGGTTCTTTTTGGGGACCGGGACGATGCAGGATGTCTTCCATAGGGCGGGCACTCTCCCCAGTCGCAGACTGAGGTTGAAGACTCGTTGTAGCGGCTCCCCAAGTTCAGCAGCACACGCCTTAAGCATCCTAGGACACACCTTGTCTGGGCCTGCTGCCTTTCTGGGGCGAAGCTTCCTCAGTTGCCTCCTGACCTGATCCACTGTGACACTGGGAGATGTTTGGGAGGAGGGGAGGGGGGGAGATGTCTTGCTGCTGAGAGAGGGATTGGAGGAGGGGGGGTGTCATGGTGTCAGGAAGGGGGGGAAGCGAGGGAGGCAGGAGAGTGGGGAGAGGACTCTGTAGTGAAGGTGAGGGTGAGGGTGGGGGGGTTGTGGGCTGGTCAAACCTGTTGAAGAAGTTGTTGAGTTCGTTTGCCTTCCCCACAGTCCCCCCCACTGTGCTTTTCTTGGTGTTGTGGCCTGTGATGGTTTTCACACCATTCCAGACCTCCCTCATATTGTTCCTCTCCAACTTCTGCTCCACCTTCCTCCTGTAGGTGTCCTTTGCTTCCCTCAATAGTTTTGTTGTGTGTGTCAGAACAATGAGGCAACTGCTGAATGTTACAGGTGTTACAGGAGTGATACAGCTCCAGTTGTCAGGCCTGCAGGTATCAGGCTGTTGTTCTCCTTTATCTCATAGTGGACAGAAATTATTTTTGGAGTGGCACAAATAATTTGTGTGGCATCAAATTTGATGCAGAACACCTGATTGTTCTGTAAATTGTTTTAAATGTTTGTTTTAAAAACTACCTTGGCTGCATTTTTAGGTAAACAGCTGCAAAAAACTTTGGTGTTTGCAAAACTCAGTTACTTTTTTGAAGAAGTAACTATATAATTAATTGCCCAACATTGGTCATTATGTAATGTATTTTGCATACGGAGAGTTACAGGACTCTCTCCCAGACCACAAACTCATACTCATATTACAAGTCAGAGCTTTATAAAAAAAAGAAAAAGAAAGTTGTGTTTTCAAAATTGGTGTTCAAGTTATTTTTGGGCGAACCAAATTTTGGTGGACCAGGGTCTGCGTGCAGCCCGTGTCCATCAAAGCATGGCGAATACACCCTTGACATCTTACCGGCATGCAGTACGTCCCTCCTGGACCAGGGGCGGGCGCTGGAGCGCCGGCAACACGGAACACCTGCCCGGACATTCTAAGCGCAGGTGCCCCAGCCACCCACACTTCCAGCAGTCCGGCCCCGACGTCTGTGTGGCTCCCCGTGGCTCCGGGGCAACCTCGGTGGCCGCCGGGGTTCCGGCGGACAGCAGCGGCCGGAACGGGTTCCTGGGGCTCCGTTCCCACAGGGCCGCCGTCCCTCTGCTGTGACTACAGGCGCTCCGCCGTACCTCCTCATGGCTGGGTCCCAGGTTGGCCGCCAGATAATCGCCGCTGTCAGATCTGCCGGGCGGTGGCAGCGGACCCAACGAGCCATAGCCTCAGGCAGGCCCCCCACGAACTGCTTGAGGACGATCAGATTTAGCAGCCGAGCCTCCCCAGCTGAGGGGCCCGGTCGCAGCCACCTCGCTGCCGTATCCTCCAGCTGCCGAGCCCATCCAAATGGCCGCTCCCCTCCCGTCATCGTGCTGGCCCGGAATTGCTGACGGTAATCCTCCGGGGAGAGGCCCAGACAATCCAGCACCACCTAGCACACATCCTCAAACACCCCCTGTGAGCCGGGGGGCAAGCTCAGAGCCGCCGTCTGGGCCTCGCCCGACAGAAGCGGCAGCAGCCAGGCGGCCCGTTCCTCCTCCGGCCAGTGACAGGCCACCGCCGTGGCCTGGAAAGCCTCGATGAACACCAGCGGGTCCTCCCCATCCCTCATCCGGTGCAACATCACCGACAGTGGAGGGAGGGCCGCAGTCCCCAGCAGCTGCCCCAGAGCTGCGGTCTGCTGCTCCGATTGCTGGTGAAGCAACGCCAGCTGGTGGTCCTGCGTGGCAGCCTGATGAGCCGCCATCGCCGCCATGTCCAACATCATCTGGCCCAAGATCTGCAGCGGTTGGGCGGGTGGCTGAGCGGACAGCGGAGCCGCCGGGAGAGCAGGTGGAGCAGGCTGGGGATTGGACATCACGCCAGGGTTTTGGCACCAGTGTAACGTTTGTCCTGTAAAGCATCCACGGGACACAGGTGTGGGGACAGCAATACTGAAACTGTACTGAAACTATTAAAATATTAATGAAAAGGGAAACAGGTATGATGAGAAATTTAAAGCTGTTATATCTGATATTTCTCTTTCAATAAATAATAAATCAGAGCGAGTTTGATTTTGTAACATAGTCCAATATGTCACATGCAGAGTAATTAGTCATTTCTACTAAAAGTGAATATTTAAAGTGTGATCAGTGCTGTAAGAAATTTCTTCCTGAGACAAGTGACAATCTATTCTACTTTTTCCTGTAAATTACTTGCAGATCAACCCAGGGCCACACTGACAGCAGGAACAACAATCATACCAGTAGGGGGCAGTGTGACACTGACCTGCTCTGTGCAGAGCTCTGATGGATGGAAATATGAGTGGTTCAGACGAACCCAAACAACCTATGAAGGTAAAATCAGAGATAAACAAAACAGAGATATCAGAGTATCTCAAGGAGGAATCTACCGCTGCAGAGGAACAAGAGGAAACCCAGTTTACTACACTTATATAAGTTATGATGTCACCATTGAGAAAACCAGTGAGTTCAGTAATTTAGTTTGAAATATACATTCACTCATGATTATCAAACATACAATGTGAAGTTTTCTGTGTTGATTTCGTGTTTCTGTTTGTATCTCAACTGTTAATATGTGTAAACAGTTTCCAATAAAGTTGTTGTAAAACAACAACCCAACTGGCCTCAGATATTCAGAGGTGAGATGATCACTCTGACATGTGAGGTGCAGGAAGGAGGTGAAACCACTGAGTGGTGGTATGAATGGAGAGGACCCAGGACACCCACACAGTGGACACACAATAATGATGTGACATTCAGAGTTTCTGAGTCCAGCAGTGGAGACTACATGTGTAAGAGTCGACGCAGAGATGACTCATATTCTTCAACAGAGTGGAGTGAAGCCTTCACATTGTCAGCATCAAGTAAGTCATGTTTGTTGTGTGATCTCCATTTGACAAATGTCATCATGGTCAGCACAGGATGAATTCAATGGTCTACAAAGCATGTTACATTGTTAGTCAGACAGAACTGTAGATTCAAACAATTGAAGATATGGAAGTTATGAAGCAAGGTATATGGAATTCAAAGAAAAAAAATCATAAAAAACTCTAAATATGTTTTATATTTTAGATTCCTCAAAGTAGCCACCCCTTGCTTTGTTTACAGCGCTCCAAACCCTTGGCCTTCTCTCAATGAGCTTCATGATGTTGTCACCTGAAATGGTTTTTACTTCACAGCTGTGCCTTGTCAGGGTTTATTTGTGGAATTTCTTGCCTTCTTAATGGGGTTGGGACCATCAGTTGTGCAGAAATCAGGTTGGTACACAGCTGACAGGAGCCCGGAGTCCAGATAAATGCCACGCAGAGTTTCAGTAGCAGACACATCTCTATATCAACTGTTCAGAGGAGACTGCGCAAATCGGTCTTTCATGGTCAAATATCTGCTAAGAAACCACAACTAGGGAAAAGCAACAAGCAGAACAGATTTGTTTGGACAATGAAACTCAAGGAATGGACATTAGACCAGTGGGAATCTGTGCTTTGGTTTGATGAGTCAGAATTTGAGATGTTTGGTTCGACCTGTCGTGTCTTTGTGCGACTCAGGAAAGGTAAAAAGATGGTCTCTACATGCATGGTTCCCACCATGAAGCATAGAGGAGGAGGTGTGATAGTGTGGGGCTTTGTTGGTGACACTGTTGGGGATTTATTCAAAATTGAAGACACGCTGAACCAGCATGGTTATCACAGAGTTGTGCAGCGATGTGCTATCCCATCCGGCTTGTGTTTCTTGTGTTTGACAGAAATATGCAGTAATGCGTTACTTGTAACGCTTTACTGTAATCGATTACTTTTTTCAAGTAATGAGTAAAGTAAGGGATTACTATTGCAAAAACGGTAATTAGATTACCGTTACTTTCCCGTAGGAACGCTGCGTTACTGCGTTACTAAAACCGTGATTTTTTTGCGAGAATGTCTCATGACATTGACGTAAGCGAGTGCGACGTTCGTGACAACAGCTGTGTGCAGATCAACAATGGATCACATATCGAGTTCGGGAGAGAGTATGAGCGTGCAGCGGTTAAAGCGTGGAAGTACTGACCTTATTTTGAGTTTGATTCCATAAAAAGTGACAAAAACATTAGTGTCCGTTGTGAGTGGGAAGAAAACTTCTTTTTACAGCGAAAAAAAACCCCTAAACTTCCAAGCAAGCACCAAGTGCACAACGACATAATGGGAAACTCACAGAGAAACTTGCGGATTCTTCCACTGACCGCTGCGGCACACCTGCACCAGGGTAAACCTCCGCCTACCCCACTCCTACTTTACAGGTGAAAATAGAGCAACAGGACCGCTAGTCTTTGATTTTATTTATTTTCTGCTGTGTTTTACTTGCATCTATTTGAAAGAGTGAGTGTTAACACACAAAAAAAAATATTTTATGTGCTGCAATGTGTAGAAAATAGGTTTAAATATTAAACAAATTTCTTCCAGCCAGAGAATGTTGCATATAATTAAATTTTTGCTTGATGCATAAAGTTAAAAGATTAAAACTAATAAAACAAGTTTTAAAAAGGGACTTTTCCATTTGATTACATTTTGTATGATGGGTTATGCAGAAAAAGTACAATTGGGCTGAAAGATCTATCGCTTTATCACCTCTTCAGGTTGTAAATCGTGTTTTTAAAAAGTAACTAAGTAAATAATTACTTTTGAAAATATGTAATAAGTAAAGTAACGGGATTACTTTTTTGGGGAAGTAATCAGTAATTAGTTACTGATTACTTTTTTCAAGTAACTTGACCAAAACTGGTGTTTGATTGTTTGATATTTCTCATCATCTCTGTGAACTCCTTCAAGACTGTTGGAAAACCATTTCAGGTGACAACATCAGGTCATTGAGATAATGAGTGTGTAAAGCAGTTATTGAAGCGAGGGGTGGCTATGTCTTGTGAGAATCTACAGTGTAAATAGTCATGAAAATAAAGAAAAAACCTTTAAATAAGAACATGTGTCCAACTTTTTGTCTGGTAGTATATGTGTGTGTATGTATGTATTGTCACGGTCCTGGGTCTCCTGACCCAGCGTTTTTAGTTCTTTGTGATTTTTGTATTATTGTACTTGTGTGAGTTATTCTATGGTTTCTAGTTTCGATCCCTTGCCCTTCATGTTTCTCTGTGTCCCCTCTGTTCTGTGTAAGTCTGTGTCTGCATGTTTGAGTTCCCCTCTGTGTCCTCTGCCTTATGGTTTATGTCTCTGTGTTTCTTAGTTGCGGTCTCCACTGTGTCAAGTTCGCGTCTCTGTGTCCTACTTTGCTTGTCTCGTCAGTCCTGATTTCTCCCAGCTGTGCCCTCCTTCTGTGTCTCATTCCCCTCATTACTTCCCAGTGTATTTAAACCCTTTGTTTCTCTGAGTCAGTGTCGCGTTGTCCCTCATGCTGTGTGGATCTCCCTGTGTCTCTCTGTGAGTGCTTAGGTTGTTGTTTCCCCAGTTTAGTTTAGTTTGTATGTTTGTCTTACCAGCAAATAAAGCTGTGATTTTTGAGTTCATCCCCTGAGTCCGTGAGTCTTGCATTTTAGGTCCAACTCCTGCCTGCCGCACAGCGATTCATGACATGTATATGTCCTTTTCATAAGAGCAGATAAACCCACAGCCACAGTGGCACCAGAAAAGGCAGTCATATAGTCATACAGTCTCTCCTCACGGTCTCACTGTTTTTCTCCATCTGTTAAATGAACAGAAAATGATCTTTTTATTTTTGTGCAGGTCCATTCCTAACTATAAAACAACAAATTTACCATTATTATGAAATACATATCTTAATATTTCTCTGTTGATTTTGTTTCTATTTTATGAATATTTTTCTGTGAACAGTTCTCAGTAAGCCCACTGTGACCCTGCAGCCATCCTGGACTCAGATATACAGCGGTGAGACAGTCACTGTCAGATGTGAGATTCAGGGAGGTGAAGGAGCTCAGTGGACATATGAATGGAGAGCAGCCAAGTTAAACACACCTCCAACATCCAATGAATACAGAATCATCAGAGCTACTGAGTCTGACAGTGGAGGATACAGCTGCCGGGGCAGGAGGGACTATTTCTTCTCAGAGTGGAGTGATATCATCACACTGACTGTATTGTGTAAGTTCGAGATGTTTCATCTATAATAGGTAAAAAAAAAAAAAAAAAAGGCTTATTCTATGATACAGCTTTCTAGCTATCTTAGTGCTGCTCAACTTTCAGATGGCAATAAAAGTAGTTTTTTTTCTTTGTTGAATAATAGTATTCACAGTGAAAGATCCAGTACAGAACAATGTCTATCACAGCATCATCTTTCTTATCTGCCCTGTCAACATCTACTGTACAGATGGTGAACCTGTCTTAGCACATCCACTAAGAAAAAAATAATTATTTGTCTTAATTTATTATTTATTTCTTCTTCCTTTTATTCTTCTTCTCCTCCATTTCTATATTCACTGGTTTGTCTTCTGAGTATCTGAGAATTTTTCCTGTGGCTCCACATGTGGAGTTTTACCTATTCCAGCAACTTACTGTATTATGGTGTAGTTAGTTCAGTTTTTTTTAGTCTAAATTTATTTTTAAATGGATTGCTAGACACACTTTTTTTTAAATAGAAAATTTGGAAAAAGTCTAGCTGTGATTTAAAACTGTAAAATGGCCTAATTTTATTTAAAGATTTGGCTGGTGCTGATATGATTTATCATTTTTCTCCATTTACATTATTATTATTATTATTATTGACATTAACTCTTAGACGAAATCAAAGTACATAAAATGTATCCACTAAATGTATTTAGGATTAGAAAGTGTTCATTTCTCTGCAGTAGAACATCTGATTCTTCTAGAGTCTGATCAGTAAATTATGTCACACTTCAAGTATAACATTTACTATTATTATAACAAATATATTCCTAAAACAGTGAATTAAATATAAACAATTCACATTGGAGGTCACACTGACTGATCTTTGTGAGTCATGATAGAATTACTTGTAATGAGACTTGAAATCCTTTAAGCCTTGCAATTTTCAACTCGAGTGGACAAAACAGTGTGTCACGGGAAGGTCTCTTCCTTCATGCAGAGAAGGAAGAGGATAACCCATTTTACCACACAGAGTACAACAGGGAATAAGTGAAGTTTTGATTTGGGGTTTAAAGAACAATGTAGAATAAATTCACGATCGTGTTGAATTCGCGATTCAGCATTTAGATGAAGACACAACAGCATAATATTTCTTTAACCTGTTTGGCATTATTATTATGTGTGTGTGTGTGTGTGTATATATGTAAATATGTATATGTGTGTGTGTATGTATGTATATATATATATATATATATAATATATATAAGGGGTGCAACGATACACAAAATTCACGGTTCGGTTCGATACTTTGGTGTCACGGTTCGATATTTTTTTCGATACAAAAAAAATGTTCATGCCTTTTTAATTTGTCATTTATTAAAATTATAAATATATATTTTAACTCAAAAATACAGTTTTTAAATTTAACCCTAACCCTTGTGCGTGTTTTTTTATTTTGACAGCGAATGCGCACCTGCAGACCACTTATGTGCAGCCCTGGTTATTTAGCTCGTCATATTGCAGCCACAGAAATTATTTTGTCCATGAAACCATAAAGCTGCACTTTCTTTTTGCCTTATAGTCTGATTTGTCATTACTTTTCCGTTTTGTGGTAAGCTTTTCTTTGGCTGTCACTTCTTCACCCTGACCTGTCTTATTTGGCTCAGCAGAACTGAAATATATATCCTGCTGCTTTTACACACGCACTCACATAAGCTCAGCGATTCTCTGCGCGATCAACCTCTCACATGTTTAAGCTTGCTGCGGGAGATTTCACTTGTCATGTTTGCATAGTAAGCTAACGATTAATAAGACGATGTCAGAGGAATTGGTGCACAAATTATCATCACTCACAGATCAGTGCTGTCGCTCTCTATACACAGTTCGCGCGATTGCAAAGTGAAAGCAAAAAAATAAGCGCAAATTCAAACGCGATTTCAATATGTCACATATTGACAGTGGCTCACCGATGCCAATGACATAATTACCCAGCTACATTTCTGAAACAATGCAAAAGCATTGACATATATTTTTCCTTCCTACAATAGCCCGATGGGCAGGGAAGAGATAGATTTTGGTAGCCCGACTGGAAAAATCGCTAGCCCCGGGACGTCGGGCTAGCGATATTGCAAGCCCTGTATCTGATTGAGGAATCACTCATCTTTGGAAAAGAGAGTTTATTACAGAGAAATGTCTCTTTCCAAAATAAAAGCTATACTATCCGCTTCTTCTGGGCTATATTCTCAGCAGCATATTAAACATATCAGGTCCCCATAAGGAGAAGCATGTGCTAACAGCTGTCTAAATGACTCGGCTAAAGTTAGTAGCATGCTTGCTTGTTTTTGTCTGCTTCCACTTGTCTTTGCACTAGGATGATATCGGCTTAAATGTGCAGTCATATTCGTTGTGTTCCCACTTGTGCTTTCAGGTTAATCTCGTTGAAATGACCTTAACGCCACAACACGGCAAATCTCCGTTAACGAGTTACCCCTGATCACCCCGTGCATGGGGCTAGACGGCCAACACGTTAACGAGCTAACTGCGCTAACACACTAGTTCCCACCCATGTAATTGAGCATTGCGTGGCACATCCAACATACTGTTTTACTTTAGTCCATGACTCGCTTACCTTCAGGGTCATACGTCACATGAAAACCAAAATAATTCCAAACGCCAGATCTGAATGAGGGTGGGGGAGGTTCAATTTGCCATGTTGCAAGGAGAGCTTAACTTCTGTCTCGCTAGCTTGCCCTGCGCTCTTCCTTCTGACGATGCTGTCTGTGTTGAGCGCTCAGTGGATCTGCGCTCGACAGTGCAGCCTAGGCGGAGTAGTCCAACGCAGATTCACTGAGCGCTCAACACAGACAGCATCGTCAGAAGGAAAGTTGATAAAATAAATTACAAATTTTGTATTGTTCGATACATATGCGTACCGAACCGAAAACACTGTATCGAACGGTTCAATATCGATACGAATATCGTTGCACCCCTAGTATATATATGTGTGTATGTATATATGGTGAAAAGTTGAATTTAGTCTTAAGAAATGCTACTAGACATGTTTTCTGAGAAAATTGTTTTTCAACAGATAAACCCTGTCCTGTCCTCACTGTGTCTCCATCATGGCTGAGTCCTGGAGCCTCAGTAACTCTGAACTGTGAGGTTGAACATCCGTCTGCAGGATGGAGCTTCTACTGGTATAAAGCTGTTCCTGATCTATCACAGAAATCCTCCAGTTATGAGCTGCTACCTGATGGCAATGGGACTGCAAACAACTCCTACATCATTCATGGACAGACACACACAGCAGGATATGTGTGCAGAGCTGGAAGAGGAGACCCAGAGTATCACACTGATTACAGTCAACCAAAATTTGTCTGGTCTGCAGGTCAGTTTGATTCTGTTTATCATCACAATAAACCAATTTTATGTCAACTCTTTTCACCAAATATCAGCTCATTAAAATTCAATAATGACAATTAAATGTCTGTGTATATTGAATATTTCCATTTTTATTTATGATCAAACTGATTTTGTTTCTTTTCATTATTTTTGCACTTGTATAATGTGATAATATGGAAACAACTATTTTTTTAATTAGTTTTTTTCTTTGCAATGAGTATTTTTATTTTGGATATTTAAATTCATTTTATTTACATAGTCATTATTTCTTACATAGGATTTGGATAAACAAAGTACATTTTCATCACGATATTTTGAATCCTAACATCTGTGAGCTTTGTGTCTTCACTGCATGTTGTTTCCAGATGTTCATTCAGCAGCGTCTCTCACAGTGAGTCCTGACAGAGTGCAACACTTCACCTCTGACTCTGTCTCACTGACCTGTGAGGGAAAGTTCGCTGAGTGGAGAGTGAGAAAGTTCTCTGAGGACGGCCGACTCTCTGACTGTAGCAGAATGACTGGATCCACATGTGACATCAACACATCAAAGTCAGATACTGCAGTGTACTGGTGTGAGTCTGGATCAGGAGAGTTCAGCAGTGCAGTCAACATCACTGTTCATGGTATGTTTTTACACACATTTCCTTAACTGCTTTTTTTTTTTCATTTCAACCATTTAGAAGACACATATTGTGAATATTTATCCAATTTTCCCTCTGAATGTAACAGAATTCTGCATGACAAAATGGCAGTTTTAGTTATATCTACAAAGTAATTTTATTGATTGAAACAAATTACATCCAAATTTTAGCCAGTGCCAGATTTTACATTTTCAAGATTTTTTCATCTTTTAACATACAATAATGTTTCATTCACCATTTTTACACAACTTTTCAGCCCTTTAGCATGTCATATAAAAACCCGAATTTAAATGGTTTAGTCTTACTTAATAATAAGGTTACATAATATATGTTTCACAGCATTTTTTGTAAGCAAAGACATGTTTCCTTAAAAAATCTGACTCTTTTTACCCTATAAACAAAAAAATGTGACCTTCCCAAAAACTGCTGTAAAAATATTGTACAGTAATATTTTTTTTCCACTTTAAATGACTCCGTCTTTTAAAATTACTTTAGCTTAAAATATACATTTAAAAAAATAATTGTAATTCTTTTTATTTAAACTCTAAAGTATGTTTATTTAGGTCCACTGTTTTTTTTTATTTTTATCAAAAAACAAAAAAAAAACAAAAACAAAATAATTTCTATAAACTAAGGAGCTTGGAAAGAAAAGCTTCTAGACTTCTTTAAGTTGATTGAAGACTGTTAAGGGTTAAAATATTGAGGAGGGACACAGAAACAACACTGATCCAGGAGGGTTAGGTCAAACGATGATTTTAATGAACACATGCGTGGAGAGATGAACACTGTTACACAATCAGCATCGATCTCTCTCTAACAATACACAAGCAATTGTTTTTATATCGTCAGGGAAATTTATGACGCCCCCTCATGCGTCATCACATGCATAAGTTTCAAAACCACAAATGTTCTGGTGACGACTTTTGACACAATAAAAAAGAACATCACCTCCGTCTCCGCGGCAGGTGCTTCCTGTCGCTGCCGGACGCCCACTTATCATCTGGAACATCAGGCACACATTCTGCAACAAACTGTTCTTTTGCAGGCACAATTTTGCAGTCACAAGCAAACTATAATTAAACTTTCACCTATAAATGAGTCCATCTACTGTGTGGGTGTGTGTGGCTCGACCTCACACGAACTTTGTCTTACAGTGGGGCAAAAAAGTATTTAGTCAGCCACCGATTGTGCAAGTTCCCCCACCTAAAATGATGACAGAGGTCAGTAATTTGCACCAGAGGTACACGTCAACTGTGAGAGACAGAATGTGAAAAAAAAAGTCCATGAATTCACATGGTAGGATTTGTAAAGAATTTATTCGTAAATCAGGGTGGCAAATAAGTATTTGATCAATAACAAAAATACAACTCAATACTTTGTAACATAACCTTTGTTGGCAATAACAGAGGTCAAACGTTTACTATAGGTCTTTACCAGGTTTGCACACACAGTAGCTGGTATTTTGGCCCATTCCTCCATGCAGATCTTCTCGAGAGCAGTGATGTTTTGGGGCTGTCGCCAAGCAACACGGACTTTCAACTCCTGCCACAGATTTTCTATGGGGTTGAGGTCTGGAGACTGGCTAGGCCACTCCAGGACTTTCAAATGCTTCTTACGGAGCCACTCCTTTGTTGCCCGGGCGGTGTGTTTTGGATCATTGTCATGTTGGAAGACCCAGCCGCGTTTCATCTTCAAAGTTCTCACTGATGGAAGGAGGTTTTGGCTCAAAATCTCACGATACATGGCCCCATTCATTCTGTCCTTAACACGGATCAGTCGTCCTGTCCCCTTGGCAGAAAAACAGCCCCATAGCATGATGTTTCCACCCCCATGCTTCACAGTAGGTATGGTGTTCTTGGGATGCAACTCAGTATTCTTCTTCCTCCAAACACGACGAGTTGAGTTTATACCAAAAAGTTCTACTTTGGTTTCATCTGACCACATGACATTCTCCCAATCCTCTGCTGTATCATCCATGTGCTCTCTGGCAAACTTCAGACGGGCCTGGACATGCACTGGGTTCAGCAGCGGAACACGTCTGGCACTGCGGGATTTGATTCACTGCCGTTTTAGTGTGTTACTGATGGTGACCTTTGTTACTTTGGTCCCAGCTCTCTGCAGGTCATTCACCAGGTCCCCCCGTGTGGTTCTGGGATCTTTGCTCACCGTTCTCATGATCATTTTGACCCCACGGGATGAGATCTTGCGTGGAGCCCCAGATCGTGGGAGATTATCAGTGGTCTTGTATGTCTTCCATTTTCTGATGATTGCTCCCACAGTTGGTTTCTTCACACCAAGCTGCTTGCCTATTGTAGATTCACTCTTCCCAGTCTGGTGCAGGTCTACAATACTTTTCCTGGTGTCCTTCGAGAGCTCTTTGGTCTTGGCCATGGCGGAGTTTGGAGTCTGACTGTTTGAGGCTGTGGAGAGGTGTCTTTTATACAGATGATGAGTTCAAACAGGTGCCATTCATACAGGTAACGAGTGGGGGACGGAAAAGTGTCTTACAGAAGACGTTACAGGTCTGTGAGAGCCAGAGATTTTCCATGTTTGAGGTGACCAAATACTTATTTGCCACCCTGATTTACGGATAAATTCTTTACAAATCCTACCATGTGAATTCATGGATTTTTTTTTTTTCACATTCTGTCTCTCACAGTTGACGTGTACCTCTGGTGCAAATTACTGACCTCTGTCATCATTTTAAGTGGGGGAACTTGCACAATCGGTGGCTGACTAAATACTTTTTTGCCCCACTGTATGAGAAGAGAGGCCAATTCTCATGTGCATAATAACCTAACTGAAACTATATCTGTAATATGTTGAATAAATGTTTTAATCAAGAACCTCTACTAAAAGCTTAATCAAAAGATATAAATGAATAAAAGACAATAATGAATAACCTGGTTATTCAAATAGCATCCTCCCAACAGCTCCTCAAAGTAACTTACACTTAGACTCTGCTTTAGTTTCACCTTCACAAGCACGCTCTGCAAAAGCCTGCGCTTCCTGTCTACTTTGGCACAGAGTGTACTCAGTTAGGCCTTTCTTTTATAATGCAATGTAATCTACATATAAACATTTAAGATTATAAAAAGCATTCCAAAGCATTTAAGATTATAGATTTAACTCAACAGTTTAAAGTGGTTATAACTGCACCTGTAATAAAGGCTATTTGGGTGCCAATATGTTTAAACATCTGAATACAATATCAATGCTGTAGATTATATTATTAATGTTATTAATGCAATGGTAATGATGATGACTATGAATAATAGCAGTAAAATATTTCTCTGATCTCCACAAGACGTTTCACCTGTCATCCGAGAAGCTTCTACAGTTCTAGGGTCAAATGGTGGAGAGTCCCACCATCCCATGTCTTCAAGCAACTTAAAGAAGTCCAGACGCTTTTCTTTCCAAGCTTAGACTACGATGACCTGGATGACTGAGAACCTTCATAGACATATTCTATAAACTACATTTCAAGAAGTCTTTGGTTATTATTTTCATTAGGTCCTAAGTTGGCTGAATGATTGGCAACAACATTGACCCATTTATGTTTTCTGTAACGTCAGATTTTGTATTTTTTTTTTTTTAATTGACATTCGTGATCCTAAAGGCCTAAAGATCCTAAAAACAGCTGTAAAAATTATTTTATAGTAATGTGGAGGTAAACAAACATGACATAAGAGACCTCACTTCTCACTCCAACTTTATTCTTCGCCTGAGAACTGACAAAACTGACTGCTTTCCCGGTGAGGGACAAGACTGGCATGGGCGGTCAGGACAAGCTGAAGACAACTTGAGCTCCACCGGGTAGGGGTGGGTGCTCCTGGAGGAAAAAGCAGAGTCTGTCAGCCCAGAGTATCAAAATCTTTGTCTGTGTAAAACAAAAATGTTACTTCCTTAAAATCTAGAAATACCAGTATTCAATGGCCATAATGCATATGAAATCAAAATTCTCAAAATACTACTCTAACACGTTAGTAAATCTGTAGATTAATATAACGCCATTTTAGTGCAGCAATTCTCACACAATTTTCTCCTTTTTGTATGTATTGTGACTTCCTTTTTAGCTTCTATTTAATCAGCGATTATGATCATAAAACAGCAACAATATCTGTTTCAATATAGCTCTTACATGTGTGTTTAGCTTTAAATTCTGGCGTAAATGACAGTGCATCACTTGGTACATCTAGTGTTATGATTTAAAACATAGGTGTCAAACTCTGGCCCGCGGGCCAAATTTGGCCCGCAGCCTAATTACATTTGGCCCGCGAAGCCATACCAAATTACTATTAGAGCTGGCCTACTGGTATTAAACAGCTAATATATATATTGTTTGGTATTAAGCTTTGCTTGTTCCATATTCAGTTTTCCAGCAAAACTTATTTGAGTCCATAAGAAAAGATTCATTCCTATATCTGGAGGAAGATTTTTTTTTTAGATAAATATTAATGTTAGCCCGCGACTTTGTTCCAGTTTTGAATTTTGGCCCACTGTGTATTTGAGTTTGACACCCCTGATTTAAAATATCTTTAACCATGACTTACAATTAACAAAGTATTTATAAAACCTCTCTTAACCTTTAGAGTTTTGCTCAACCAACTGGTAGAGTACATTTTCAGGCCCTATATCTAACGGAGGCTTTCACTGAAATTGACCTACCTTATTGAATCTTTTCTACCAATTGGTTTACATCTGTAATGCCAAAAAATCCACCAGAAGACACTGTGAATGTAAACGGTTGGCTCTTCTTATCGCTCTCCCAACCAGGAAGTCAGAAACAAAAAATCATCCAACATATTTTGAGTGTTTTTGATGAAACTAAGGAAGGAAGATATAATTTTTTGATATATGATAGTGTTAGAGGACTTACTAAACAGATGTATGTCACTTGACAGCATTAAAAATGTGAAATTAAATGTTTAATCATTTAAACATGATTGCCCAACCAAACAGCTGATTTGTCACTTTATGGTGCTAATGCTAACAAAACTTAATGTTATTATATTCATTATTTGCCATAATATCAGACCACTAGACCCATTTTGTTTATCCATTGCTGTTGATAAATCCCATTAAGTGTTAGCACAGCAAGAATATGCTGAAATAATTTCCTCAGTAAGTAATTTTTGTAACTTCCTGAGTTAATATTAGTAAATACTGTAAAAATCAAGAATAACATGTGGAAATCACAAATATCACAACTAATTACCCTTTAACCAAAGTACAGTAACTGGTAAATTAATTTTTCTAAGTAGTCAAAATTATAATTTCATGTTTAATAAGTACTATATGGACGCTAAACAATTATATGGCTAAAAATCACATGGTCCTGTGGCATGACACTCATGATACCATCCACCTTCAACCACAGTGTGGTGAAAAACTACAGGGTCTATTGAAAAAAAATATTGATTGTGGTTATTACTCACCCAAGTCAATAAGAAATGCAAAGAAAAATGTTTTTCCATTGCTTTTTTTCTTGGTGTGGACCTCAAAGGGTTAACACACTCGCAACTATTTTAACTATTAAAAACTACTATTATAACCTAACCCAATTAATTTGTACTGGTTTGTGAAAATAGTTTTTAAATATTCAGGATTGGAAATCAGAGATTGATTTTAAAAGCCATTTGTAGCATTTGTGCAATCTATTCTTATCTCTTACTATATTATATGTCTTCTTTTTTTTTTTTTCTCAAAGTGTGCACCAGCTGATGTGACTGAAACAATTGTGTGTGATTGTTTCACAGATGATGGTAATGGTCCTATCCTGGTGAGTCCTGTTCATCCTGTGACTGAGGGAGCTTCTGTTAGTCTGAGCTGCAGTTTGAGAACACAAAAAATACTTTCCAATGTGTTTTTCTATCACAATGACAAACTTATTCAAAATGATACCCGAGGGGAGCTGAAGATCTCTGCAGTGTCAAAGTCTGATGAAGGTTTCTACAAGTGTCAGTACTCAGGAAGAGAGTCAGCACAGAGCTGGATGTCAGTTAAAGGTGAGCAGGATCAAGACATGTGACGCATGTTTTTTTGTAAACCATTTTGATATTTGAGAACTAGCATGATTATCATTAAGTACAGTCATCATAAAGAATAAAGTGATGTGCTGTCCATAAAGAATTTTGGGTGTTTTGAAGTTTGAAGTCATTTGATTCTACTTTTGCAATTATCTTTGCAGTAGGTGTGTTATGTCCTGAAAGCTCTTCTTTGCCTGTGTGGTTGATTGTTGGATTGGCTTGTGGAATCTCTGTCTTTATTATTGTCCTAATCTCGTTTTATCACTATAGAAAAAAAAAGGGTGAGACCTTTTCCTTGTTTCAAATTTCAAAATTTAAATGTAACGATAACTGTGACATTTATAACAGGGAATTGTATTTACATTAACAGCGAAACAATTGTCTTTTTTACAGATTCAGGCTTCATCAGGTTGGTATTTTTTTATTGTAGTAAATATATTTATTAACCTGCAGTGCATGCGTTTATCAGACTTTTTGCATGTAATTGTTATGTTTTTATTATGCCATACAGTCCAATGACCACCACCAATCATGTAGTCAACCAGAGTGAAATTCACAAACACAACTGTCTTGACCATGGTCAGTTCTTCTTTAAGTTTTCATTTACCCTAACTGTAATTCTTTGCTTCAGTTTTTGGTCATCTGTTTTCAAAAGAATGTTATTTAAAATATATATTTAAAAATCAAAAGCTGTGAGAATGAAACTTTTTCAGTTGAACTTAAAGTAAAATGACAATAACAGATCGGAGTTAAACCAGATTTTTTTTATACCTGATTGTATCCTTTATTACTTGATTGAAAGAATCTACAAATGTTATTGTTGTATATTAATTACACATACTACAACATCATTATGACTTCAATGGATGAAAATTTATTTTTATTTATACAGTATGAATCTAAAATCTTCATTAATCTCTAAAAAAGGCCTCAGGATTTTCTATCTTTGTAATTACCTTTAAAAACAACTGATATCTGCTTGGCACAAAATAACTCTTGGCTTGTTATTTTATTTTATTTTATTTTTTTTAATTTAGGTACTGCTAAGCTCTATGAATCAGTAACCCATGTGGGAAAAAAAACTGGAGATGATTTAATATATACAGTAGTTACAAATAAAGCTATTTTCTTGTTGTTAGTATTTTTATTTTTGTTTTTTGTTTTTAATTTAAGGAAACTAATTCTGTGTGATATGTTGGCATTTCAGGTGCAGGTGAAATACAAGATATTACATACTCTGTAATTCAGCTTAAACATGTTGGAAAAAAGAGTGAGTATGTAAAAAAACATTGAACATGAATATATAATTTTTCATAATTGAGAAAGTTCAAATTATTAAAGTTTTTCATATGATTATCTAAACAGGGAAGCATCATAAATCACAGGAGCATACTATTTACTCAGAGGTGAAGGTGGGAGTTGAAGGTAAAGTCATAACAGTCTCATTGTTTGCATTGCATGCAGTTTCAGGTCAGCTTAGCAGTTACCAAGCTTGGCTACTTTCATAGGATTAATAAATATTACCAGAGTTGAATCTTGCACACATCGAAGATCATTTGGATATTTTGGATATTATTACATTTGCCTGCTTTATATACAGTATTTTTAAACCAATTTGTGATTTATAGTTGCTTTCCATTTGTTTCTTAGATATATGCATGACAGATAAATTGCTTTTTCCTATGTTTTCACTCTCTATTCATATTCCATATTCATATTCCACCATTCAGGTTGTACATGAACTCATACATACTGTATGCTCTCTCTATATATATATATATATATATATATATATATATATATATTAGGGGTGCAACGATACACAAAATTCGGTTCGGTTTGATACTTTGGTGTCACGGTTCGATATTTGCGTGGCACATCCGACATGCTGTTTTACTTTAGTCCATGACGTGCTTACCTTCAGGGTCATGCTTCACATGAAAACCAAAATAGTTCCAAACCCACATCTGAATGAGGGTGGGGGAGGTTCAATTTGCCATGTTGCAAGGAGAGCTTAACTTCTGTCTCGCTAGCTTGCCCTGCGCTCAGTGAATCTGCATTCGACTGCTCTGCCTAGGCTGCACTGTCGAGCGCAGATCCACTGAACGCTCAACACAGACAGCATCGTCAGAAGGAAAGTTGACGAAATAAATTACAAATTTTGTATTGTTCGATACATATGCGTACCGAACCGAAAGCACTGTATCGAATGGTTCAATATTGATACGAGTACCGTTGCACCCCTAATATATATATATATATATATATATATATATATATATATATATATATATATATATATATATATATATATGATACGAATATCGTTGCACCCCTAAAATATATATATATATATATATATATATATATATATATATATATATATATATATATATTTTTTTTTTTTTTTAGGGTGCAACGATATTTGTATCGTATATAATATCGAGATATATATATATATATATATATATATATATATATATATATATATTTTTTTTTTTTTTAGGGGTGCAACGATATTTGTATCGTATATAATATCGAGATATATATATATATATATATATATATATATTATATATATATATATATATATATATATATGAGAAAAAAAGAGGACGTTTTTATGTGGTTGATTATTTTTTGTTGTAAAAGGCTTCTTGGCAATTAATTCTGCTAAATGGTCCCTTAGATGGTACCACATTTGTAAGGAAATTGCATTTGAGCAATAAAGCTGAGTATGCTGGTTGTGCCCATGAAAAACTACAACAGGGGCTGGCAGTCCGGTGACTGAGTGGGGCCTGATTAGTAGCGCCTGTGAGGATAGACTGCTACAGCTGTCAGTTGGTATCTGCACCAAGCATGTCACATTTGACTGATATTGCCCATGCAATAGGTCAACTTCAAGCTGGAGTTCCACAAAATGTTCCAGTGTTATTCAGATTTGGCCCTGGTACCATCTCCAAATTGAAGAGGAAGATCCTTGTAATGGAGGATGTCTTCCCAAAAAGATCACACCACAAGAAGACCGTTTCCTCACCCTGTCAGCACTCAGGAAACATCTTCTACATATTTGCAGTTAAGGTTTGCAGAATGATATAGCTGATAGCTCATTGTACCCAAAATAAATTTCACAGACCAAATCTCCAGTCTCGTGGAGCTGCCAGGAGGCCCTGCCATAATTGTTCTTCACAATCAGGCCCACTTATACTGGTGTCAGCAACTTGTGCACTAGAACCTGAACATATGGAGGAAAGTTGTGTTCAGCAATGAGTCAAGATTCTACTTATGGATTATAGAGTCAAAGTGTGGAGAAGACACTAAGAGCACTATGCTATATGCTGGACTGACAGGGTAGAGCTAGTATGACGGTTTGGGAGCAACCTCTCCCTCAATGGAAAAACAAGTCTTTTCATCATTGGCGGTCATTTCACTGAAGAGAGATATCAAGATTAGAATGTGCAACTAGTACCTATCCTTTGCGCTCCGATGCATTCATCGGAGTATGAATGTGTGAATGAATGTAGGAAGCACTGAGTTTAGAGAAAGTGCTTGTGAGAATGGGTGTGATTGGGTGATGTGGCATGTTATAAAGAGTGCTTACTCCTGGAGAGTAGAAAAGCGCTATATAAGAGTCAGTCCATTTACCATTACACTGGCAGAGAACATTTGGCATGGATTTTTTTCATGGACGCAGGCCACATACTCAACTAAATGGTAAATTGACTGGTTCTTATATAGCACTTTTCTACTCTCACTGAGCACTCAAAGCACTTTATACAACTCGTGCATTCTAAGCTGCATTCTAACCCAATCATACAAGCGCGTTATCTAAGGTTTTTAGTGTTTCTATCAAACATTCACTCGCATTCACACTCCGATGGATGCATCAGAGGGCAAAATGGGGTTAATATCTTGCCCAAGGATATTTGGCATGTAGACTTAAGGAGCCTGGGATCAAACCACCAACCTTCCGGTGAGTAGGTGACCCGCTCCACCACCTGAGCTACAGCCACCCCAGCTCTGCTGCTGCTCAACTCACAAATACATTTTCCTTACAAATGTGACACCATTAAAGGAGAAATAAACAGGATTCACAATGGTATAATATTTATTGCTGAGAATTATTTTTACAAAGAAATCTTTTGTTACATTGTTTTATCTTATATATAAAATCAATAAGCATGCATTAGCTGCGGTGTCAGTGACAAAAAGCTGATTTTCTTTTCAGTGTCTTAAAAATAGTTTTAGTCCACCTCTGAATCTGTCTATTAATTCAACAGCTCTGTATCACATTTTGGATGAAAAAAATCTGACTTTTTTTTTTTAATATGAGTCTGATTTATGTTGAGGTCACACACCACCCAAAAAAGTAAAGAAAGGAAATAACTGGCAACATCTGTCATCAGTCCCACTGAATATTTTTCAATATGCTTATCTTTTCTTGAAAATATAAATCTTTTTATGCATTTTTGTGTCTGTAGTCACAGTTTACGTCAAGATTTGTAAATCAGTTGATGCTATCATACTCCTTCTTTCTTTTCCTTAGTAGAGATATCAATTGTCTTCTTTTCAAGTACATTATAATTGGTAATCATAACACTGCAGATCAGTGCTTTAAATGATCTTCTCTCCATTCACAGAAAAATCAAGTCCTGCAGCATCTAATGAGGAACTTTACTCCGAAGTCAGATTAGAAAGCAGTCTCGGTAATAAATATATAAGTCTATATAAAAATCTATAAGTTATAGAAGTGCATTCACATTTAATCACATACATATAAACATACATACATGTATTTAAACACATACACATATAGCTGTGGTCAAAAGTTTACATACACTCATCAAGGGCATGAGTATCATGGTAGTTCTCAGCTTTTATTAATTTCTTTTGACACAGTTAAGTGTAGTCAACATATTTTCAATTGGGCTAATGTCAGAACTTTGAGCTTCTGGAATGAACTTTCCAATGGGACAGTCCTAAACAACTGTATGTAAGTACAAGTTATTCAAATTTCTCACCACCTTGCCAAGGTCTGGAAGTGGTTAGAATAATGAAAGGAGGACTACCTCTAAATTCTTAAACGTCACCCTTACTCAGTAGCTAGAGGGTTTAAACTAGGGCACAACTGAGTGTTTCAACAGGACAATGATAACAACCACAGATCAAAGATATTTTTTTAATCGATAAAGCAGGCTAAAAGTAAACTTCTGGAATGGCTTTCCCAAAAGCCTGATCTCAAAAATTAATCCAGAAGCTTGCTTATTGTGACCCAAAGCACTTGATCAAGGTGCAACTTGCTGAAGGACCTCTTACCAAATTATTTGTAAGAGTGTATGTATACTTTTGACCCCATATGTACACATTTGTGTAAACTGGGGAAAATCCCAAACAAAACAAAACTCTTTATTTAAAGGCCCAAAAGAAAAAAGAAGAAAAAAAAAGATTAAATCATCATGTGCTGAGTCTGGGGCGAGGGGGATTACTCACCCATCACTGGAGGCGGAGTCAGTAGTTAAACAGGTCCTTGGTGGCAGGTTCCCTGAGATGGATGAGATTCACCTTGAGTTCCTTGAGGAACATCAATGTTGTAGGGCTGTCTTCGTTGACATTCCTTTGCAACATTGCATGGACATCAGGGGCATTGCCTCTGAACTGGGACCCTCACTGTTGGTGGTTCCCCTTTCTAAGAAAGGGGGCCAGAGGGTGTGCTACAAGGGAATCAAAATTCTTAGTAAGCCAGTGAGGCACTGATAGAAATATATTCTCAAATCTCCTTTCTTATTATAGAAGACATTCCAACATATGCCGAGATCAACCGTCACAATAAAGCAAAAGCTAAGGAAAACCAGGGTAAGTAAAGCCTGCTATAATCTCCAGTGTTGAACTTGATAATTATTATAAAAATAATAATTTCTGATTAAAAATGAAGTCTTTTTTCTTATTTGTGTATGCATTTCAGTTTATATTAATAATTTACTGTCATAATTAATGATTGTGAATTCTAAAATTGTGAATCTATTTTACTTTTTTGTTTGTATGTACTCACAGTTTAAATCACTAACAAAAGCTGTGATATTGATGTTTGCTTGGCTTTGTCAATTGCCTGATCCTTTTTCTGTTGTGGATGTGTGTTGTTTTTTTGTTTAGGGTTTTTTTTCCTTTCAATTTTTGGCCAACTGTATGCATCAGTTCCTTCTGAGTCTCAAAGAGATTTGTTTGGTAGTTTCTCTTCTATCTGTACCTTACACAAAGAGTTGGTGCACCCATAGATTGTCTTATAGTCCATCTTCTGCATTATCTAGTGTCTGTACTGTCCTGTTCTAGGAAGCAGGGTTAGCTAACAGCTCTGAGTTGTAATGAGTGAAACTGGGGTTTTCTGTTCCAGAAAGAGTGTTAACTTCAACTCTTAGTCGGTTTCTGGGGTGACAGTCTCTGTAAACCTAACCTGCTCACTGGCAGGTTTTCTTCTATAAACTCTGAGTTTCTCTGACTCCTCCCCTCCTTCTAGACTTGAACCAGCTGACTGACGCATTCATTTCCTCATTCATAAAGATGCATTGACAAGTAAATTAATTTGCAGAAGTTTATGTTTTAACAAGAACTGAAATCCTAGACTTGAATTAGTTTGCTATTTTGTGTACTTACCATGACTGCTTCCACATTCATTTAGTTAGTACCAAGTATAGGTGCATTTTTTGAATTTTTGTGTTCCAGGTGCTGTATGTTCATTTTTCTTACTGGTGTGGCAGTCGGTGATACATTGTGCAATTCTATTTGTACTCTTTCCTTTTATTAGGTCCCCCTCCCCTGCCCGGCTGTCCTGTCTTAGACATTGTCATATTGTGTACCATATACAATGTAATAATTGAAATAACATGGATAAAAGTGACAAAATAAACAGATAAACCCTGAAAAGGAAGCGCCCATAGCAAATTTATAGAGCTGATCTTGAAAAACCAAAATGTGTTTGGAACAACAGTTTATCACATTTAGTTAGGAACTGGACCCAAATGCAGGACTTTCCTGGTTGCAGCAGTGAATTTATTTACAGTGTTAGAACAAACAGTGCAATTTCTTCCGTGGCAAAATTCCCGACTCTTGTGCAGTGCTCTCCTCCCGATCCGTAGTGCAAGATTAATCCAAAATGACTTATTTACAGCAGTGCTCACTCCCTGCACTGAGCCACTTAGGACAGGTCAACTGTTGAGGACATGACATTGATTGCAAACGCTGCCAGACAGGATAGGCTTAAGAAAAAAATATATATACTGTTGTCTTCTTTTCTGTTTTTAAAGATTGACATTCATATTGTGAATATCAATCTCTTGTCATATCTTATTTCTTGGTCCTCTGTATTAAAATGAATGGTCTGCTATTTTTTTTACCCATTGGCATGTTGAATTGCAGTATTGGGGATCCACTGATGATTGCTTTTTTCTCTGCTCATGTATCGGGTGAACATATTCAGATTTGACTGAACTAACTCTGATCAGCTGTTCTGGAACAGAAGACACAGAGTTGCCAATTTCAGAGTTAATCAACTTATTGTTTGTTTTTAAAGTCAGAGTTTGATGAATATGCTTCCTGGAATGGTGCCACACAGGGGGGTTTAAACAAACAAACAAACAAACACACAGCTTTGTGTAATAATAATAATAGTAAAGAATATTATGAAATTCATACGATTTATGTCAACTTCTAAGGCTGTCCACAAGTTCAGCAGCTGTATATCATTGTTTTCTGCGGCATAAATGCATCCTGAGATCTCATTTATTTTTTAGAAGACAGTCCAACGTATGCCCAGGTCAACCGTCACAATAAAAGAGCATCCAAGAACAACCAGCGTAAGTAAAGCCTGCCATCCTCTCCAGTGATGATCTTAAAATTTGACTGGAATAAATAACATGAAAATCTTCTTTACTTATTTTTTTACTTGAATACATTTTAGTTTGTATCACTAATATGTCATACTCTGTATTTGTCTCAGATACAATTGAGAACTAACTTAATTGACCTGTGAGTTAAAGACTTACTTTTTATTATGAGTTTACAGCTAAGCCTTTTAAATAATATTCTCTCCAGTCACAGTAAACTCGAGTCATGCATCAGCTGATGAAGCAGTTTATTCTGAAGTTAAATTAGGAAGTGCCCTCTGTAATTAAGCTAACATGACTGTTATATTTAGTGATTTATTTGTACTCTTTAGCTCATAATATTGTTACTAAATGATAATCCCTATGTCCTTTTTGTGGCTGTTTAACAGGTCATTGAACCGAATTGTAGCAGTAAAACCAACCTCAAGCTTCTTATACAGAAATGTCTGTAGCTTGTTCAGTATTTTGTACAGTTTTTTTAGTGATAGTCATCATCATTATAATATACAGTATACAATATATATAATATATGGTACAGACAAGGTGTTTTCATTTAGTGTTCATATTATCTGTATTCATTTAATAATAAAACATGATTTAAAGTTAGCTTTTGCAGTGTAACATAAGATCTATGGGTATAAAGAAATACTATAAATGCATGTATTGAAAGTTTTTGAACATTACCTAAAAGAGGACTGATGTAATACTGTATGGATTTAAATGTGTGAATAAATGCATTTCTTCATGGAAATTGTATGTAGTTATAGTTTGGGTTTTTATCTTTTTTTTATTTTGGCCTGAGCAGTGTTTTTGTTCTATCATGATATAGCTCTACAATATAATTGTAAAAATGTAAAGGATTTATCTTTTGTAACTTTCAACTAGATGAACATGTATACAATATGAATATCAAATCACAGAGACAGCTTAAAGTTAATAGACATTTAGTACTGGGGTTCTATTATTTTTGAAAAATGAGTGTTTAGAAAATCCAATCAGAGTAAATTCTCCGCTATAAAAATTTTCCTCTATATTGGACCTAATAATTTGCTCATGCACCATTTTTCTTCCGATCTTCACTGAAAATGGGAAAATACTATTTTCAAACAAAGACTCAAAATCTCAAAATTTTGGCAATCTGGGTTGGTCAAAAATCAACCAAGCAACTTTTTTTTTTTTTTTTTTTTTTCGCAATTTTGAGACCAACTGAACAGCTTTATCCTTTCATCTCTGCATATAATGTTGGAACACCTGGGCTTGAGGTACCCCTGTTCTGAGTGAGCTTGGTTATGAAAGTGCCCTCCTTTCTGCAGTCACACCTCTCCATTGCTCTCTGTCTGGATTTTTGTTTAAAGCCTTCTGACTTGGACAAGCCAGGATGTAGCATGATTTCTTGAGTCATTTTTTGTTGCTTTCTACATGCTTTGCTATGCATCTTGCATTAACGATGGGCAACAACATTTTGGTATTGATCCAATGTAGTGTGCACTTTATGTAGTCCTGTATTGATTTACTGTTTTATGTAGCACCAAGGTCTTGGAGGAATGCTGTCTCGTTTCACTGTGTACTGAACCACTGTATATGGTTGACATGACAATAAAGCCACTTGACTTGAGTTTATATGTCTGTAATTGTTAGATGTATTTTTTTAGGCTGTAAGCTGTAATCATCAAAATTGTAAAAAATGTAAACAATGAAATATTTAACTTTACACGCAATTCAATTCAGTTTTACTTTTAAAGCATCAAAATCACAAAAATAATAATACAGGAACAAAAAAAAGTCAGACCACCCCCTCCAGAAAAACTCCTTTTTAATAGGAAGAAATCTCCGAAATATAAACCTAAAACATAAATAAATCACTCACTCTACTCGACTATACAGCTCTAGCTCTTTGTCCCATATTTCCTACGTCAATCTTATAACACAAAGCACAGTACAATGATGGACTGTGTTTACAGCAGATAGGCACTAGAGGGTGATATTATGTCATTTATAATTTATTGAATCTATGTTAACCTTTGGTAGAAATGGTTCCAAGACCTATCAGTCAGTGTTTGACTGCAACCTGTCTGCTAAACCCTGCAGTATCACAGTAACAGCTTAGTACAAATTGCATCTTTTGTAATCCTAAATAGGGACTAAAAATAGCAATCAAAACTACTGTTTCATACATATTCCTACATATATTATGTAGAAATGTATTTCATAAATACGGTATATTATTCATTTTGCTCTAACATGTTTTCTCTACACAGACAATGTCCTGAAAATGTCATTAGTTTAATTGCAGAAAACATTAGTTTAACCCTTTAAAGTTATTCTCATGACTTATTCTAATAACAGCCACAATAATTACCAAGCCAAAAATGACACATGAAATAAAATGTAAACCCTCATGCAGCTGTCAAGTCACTATTCATGAGTTACTATTTATCATTATTGTGTTGACAGGGGACATGTTCAAAACTGAAGTAACTGCAGTTGTGAGAGCTTTATTTAAAACAGGAAAGGGAGGAGAGATGGTGTGGCCTGAGAAAAGGACTCCGCAGAAAGCAAGTGTGCTCACGCTGATAAGAGATATAGCTTCCTTTCACCCACACTTCTCTTTTTATCTTGTTCATATGCATCAGAGCATCAAAGTGGAAACATTTCTCACAAGTACAGAGACATTTTCACCATTTTCAGTGTTGAATGTCAGGATGGGACATGCTTTCTTCTGTGCATCTGGGTTGGTTTGTAAGTATACAGAATATTTACATTATGCAATGTCTATTTTTATATTAGTTTCTTTAAGAGCGCAGACAGTATGGTATTTTTATCCACTTCACTTTGATCACCTTTTAGTTAATGCAGGGTAGCTGGCACAGGTCTAACTTAACTTAGTAGTGACATTGTTAATTACACACAATACTGTCATCAGTAAACCACCAGGAAGTTTTAAATGCAAGGTTAATTTTAAGTTTTATAAGTATTACTTCTATTTCAGTGCTGAACACACTTCTGTCTTGCGGACAAACTGAAGGTGATTGAATGCTTTTTCTTTTGTTTCTGTTGCATCACTTCAGATAGATATATATCACATAAATACCATCAACCATATTTTATTTGCAGAATTACTGCCAGTTTAGGCAGTAATTCTGCAAAATCTTATTTCTTTAACACAAACACTACTTATGCGTGCTGTGATTACTCATCTTTGCTACTTGAGCAGTTTCTTTGACAATGTATTACGGACAAGGAACACAAAACTAACATAGTTACTAAAGATTGTGTAAGAAAATGACAAAAATATCTTGAAGAACTGCTGAGTATTGTTTGCTTTACTTACGTGGACATGCATGTGTTCCTTCTGAAAGATAAACCCAAACCTAATCTCAGTGTGTCTTCATCATGGCTGAGTCCTGGGGCATCAGTGACTCTACACTGCAGTGTTAGAAATCACTCTGCAGAATGGAGGTTCTACTGGTATCAGGCTTTTTTCAAAAATTCAAGCAAGGGCTACTACTTTGAGCTGCTACCAGGTGGTAAAAATGGAACTGCACAAAATTCCTACATTGTTCATGGACAGAAACAGACGGCAGGATATGCATGTAGAGCTGGAAGACAACAGCCAGAGCATTTCACTTCGGACAGCAAACCTGTATTTGTTTGGTCTGCAGGTAAGTGTGAATGTAATATCATTGCCATGATGCATAACAATACAGCTTCTGTTAATACAGTTACTTCAAGAAACACTTAGATTCCTAATTTCATAATATCTCAGTGGCTGTTTTGATCCCACATTACATGTTTCTAAGATTCTAGTTCAGCAACTGCAACTGTCAAAGTGACTCCTGACAGAGTGCAGCACTTCTCTGAAGAGTCTGTCTCACTGCGCTGTGAGGGGAAACCTTCTGAGTGGAGAGTGATGAGGCTGAGTGAAGCAGGCTACCTTGCAAACTGTTCTGCCTGGGGAACAATGAGTGGATCCACCTGCACGATCAAAAATGCTACAACCAAACCAGCCGTGTACTGGTGTGAGTCTAAACTGGGTGGCTTCAGCAATGCTGTCAACAACACAGTGCAAAGTAAGTATTTTTACATCCTTTTTTTCTTTTTTTTCTTTTTTGTTTGTTTGTTTGTTTGTTTTCCTGTATGACTCTGCAGGTTCTGCCCACATTGTGTCACAGTAAGCATCCTTTCAGTCAATAAGATTATACTTTTGAAAGTGTTAGAGTTATGTTTCTGTAAATATAAAAATGCAACATACTCATTCCTCACCTTTATCTTATTATTTTTTATTCAATTTGTCATTAATGTGAAAACATGCCTCCAGTAAGTCATCAGACCTTTCTGTTACCTTACATTACCACAGGCCCCAATCTTTCTGCCTGAGTTTTGAATTTTTGTATTTACCTTTTATGTTTAATTGTTCTGAGTTTTTGAGTTTTGAATTTTATTTATTTCTGGTTTGGTTCTTTATGGATATCTGCTCAATTTTGTCTTTAGACTTTTGCAAATTTCATTGGTTTCAATTCTCCTTGCCTCCCTGTATTAAATCTGTTATTAAATCTCTGTCCCTGTCAATCGGCCGAGGTTAACCCAAAACCTTTCCAAGCTCTTTAGATTCCTGTCTTAGGTGCTTCTTTGTTTAGTCACTTCCTGTTTTATTTTAGTAGTCTCCTGTTCCTGTCATGGTCCTGTGTCTCCAACACAGTATTTTAAGTTTTCTGTAGTATTTGGTTTCTTGTGTTTAAGTGTTGTTGTTTTTTTATTTCTTTGCAATATTAGTACATTGTTATGGTCTCTGTTAGCCACTTCCTGTTCTGCTCTGACAGTCCCTCTTTTCATGTGACGTGATGTTCAATTTACTTCCTCTGTCTTGTCAGTTACATTCAGCAGTGTCAAATCGTCAACAGATTCGACACTGCAGTTAATGCTCACCCTTCTACTCACTTAGCTGTAGTCAGCCTGCAACCCACAGCCATGCAACTTTCTCCCGTCTCCTCACTGCACCATAATCTAGTATGAAAGAACAGACACCTCTCCCCCACCTTTCACTTTCACTCACAACCAGGTTCAGAGACAAATAGTAAGACTCCACTTGGGGAAGTCTACTGGACAGATGGGGCGAGTCCCTGCCTCATCAAGGGCTGTGCCTCCATCATCGACCAGCTCCGATCTATAGACAGGCCACATTAGGAACCTCTTCACTTATCTTAGTAGCTCCACTTCGGACATCAGCAGATGTCATCATCTAACTTCTCAATTGTGTTTATGCCGATCTGGACCAGCCAGCAAGCACTGTGAGGGTCACACTTTTTGACTTTTACAGTGCATTCAATACCATCAGGCCAGCCCTCCTGGGTGATAAGCTGACAGTAATGCAGATGGATGCTTCTCTTGTGTCCTGGTACCTTTACACCACAGACTTCAGCCACTGCACTGAGACCTGCCATCTTCAGATGATTTCTGATAACTCTGTGAAGGGTGAATTCATCGGTGGGGATGATGAGACAGAGTATCAGGCTGTGGTTCACTCTTTGTCTCGTGGTGGGAGCAGAATAATCTGCAGCTCAATGTGACAAAAACCAAGGAAGTGACTGTGGACTTTAGGAGGACCAGGAAACCAGTAAACCCTGTTTTATGCAGGGGGTCGACAGTGTAGACAGTGTGGAGAACAATAAATACCTCGGAGTACACACTGACAATAAACTGGACTGGGTTAAAAGCACAACTCCACTCTACAGGATGGACCAGAGCTCTCTCTATTTTGTGAGGCAACTGAGGTCTTTTAACATCTGTCAGACAATGCTCTGAATTTTCTACAAGTCTTTTGTAACCAGGGCCGTCCTCTAGTACGTATTCTGATGTGACATTGTCTGACTGTTTTACAGAAAGCAATATAATACTTGTGAGCCCGGTCCACCCAGTTACTGAGGGAGAAGCTGTTACGCTCCACTGCAAACTGAGGAACAAAACTTTAAAATCCTCTGTGCTTTTCTTTCGAAATGATAACCTCATCAGCAATGACACCAGAGGGAGGCTGAATATCCCTGCAGTGTCAAAATCAGATGAAGGCTTTTACAAGTGTCAATATTCAGAAAAACAGTCACCACAGAGCTGGATGTCAGTAAAGGGTAAGTTTGTTTAAAACTCTTCTTCAGCCCTTCTTTTTGCAAATACTCCCTGCAACAACACTTTTGGTGTTTTTATGTAAATATGGATCATTTTAAATCACATTAATGTACTAATAGTAGTGAGTATTCATACTTTGTGAAAACAACTGAACATAAAACTTAAAAATAAAATGTATTTGTTTTTTATTGTAGCGGTATCCAGGCCTTTAAAGTCTTCATTTACTGCGCAGATGATTATTGGATTTGTTTGTGGGATTTTACTGATTGCTATCCTACTCGTGATTTATCTGAAAGTCAAAGGGTGAGGCCTTTTCAATTGATTAAAATCTGATTCTGCCTTCAGTTTCAAATGCAAAATAATATATTTTCCTTATAAAAGTTATTGAGTAATCATCTTAAAGAGCATACATGTTTTTTAGTTATCAATTATTTCTATTCACTTTTTTATTCAATATTCTTAACATTATTTTCTTTCAATTATTTTACTACATTTTACAGAACACAGTGCAAACAAACCCATGTTGATTCTGCAGTTTCTGAGGTTAGCCAGAATGCATGTCAGCTTGAAGCGCTCTACTCTGAAGTCCATGGTCAGTTTTGATTAACTAACCCAAATCTTCAAAAGTTTTTAAAAGATGCTGACAAAAAACCTTTAAAATGTCCCTTTTTTAAATGTACGGACATATTTTTCAAATTAGATTCCACTTTTGCAGCATTTCAGTTTCTGAAATATCATTAAACTGTCTGTTTTCTGTCATCTTTTAGATGATAATCTGCTGTATGCCCTGGTAATGCACAAAAACAAAGGTGAAACCCAGAACAATGCAGGTATTTTAAATTAGCATTCAATTCAATTTCAGTTTTCTGTTCATGTTAGTTAAACTTGATTGATTGTTTTTGTAATTTATGTAACATCTAACACACATAATCTGGACCTTAACTGGTTTCTCCATTTACAGGTAGACCATCACAGGCAGCAGCGGATGGCGCTATCTATTCTGAAGTCAGACTACAGGAAAACAGCTCTTGGTAATATAGGCACATATTAAGTCTGTTGTCTGTCTGTCTGTGTGTGTGTGTGTGTCTGTAGGTGTGTGTGTGTGTGTGTGTGTGTGTGTGTGTGTGTGTGTGTGTGTGTGTGTGTGTGTGTGTGTGTGTGTTTCATCTATGTACAATATACATCATCTGTATATATATTTTCATCCAAGTTCATAGAAAGAAGCTTCAGCTTTACAGCAAGAATTTCCTGAGTTTGAATCGACCTAGTTGGACCTTTCTGTGTGCAGCTTGCATTTTATTTGTGCCTGTGTGGGTTCTCTCAGAGTACTCTGCTTCCTCCTACAGTCCAAAGACATGCATGTTAGGTTAACTGTGTTTGTGAATGTCCAAAGTCATCTGACTGTGTTAGCCAAAATGTTCAGGGTGTATCCCACCTTTTTCCCTGTGACAGCTGGGAGAGGGTCCAGGAAGATTTTCTCTGTAATTGAACATATTTTGCATCTGTAGCCCTTACAGTTGTCTGGATTGGTGTTAAAGCTGCTTCTTTCATTTTTTTTTTATACTTTTGCACTTTTCCACTTGAATTCTGCTTGTCCTTCAGTCTTGTCCACACTTCCACTTAAAATCTAAAGGTGAGAGGTCTTTCTCTGAGTCTCCCCTCTTTTGTAAAGTCCCCCTCCTGTTTGGAAATTGTTTAATCAATCTTGAAGACCTAGCTATTTTCACAGGCTTTTGGGTCCCTTTGAAACCGGCTATGGGTCTGTTCTGTCTTAGTTTATCTTGGTTCTTTGTGTTATTTGTGCACGTATGTGTATATGTATATATGTACACATGCACACGTGAGTATCTGTGTGTATATACTGTACATGTTCCCTTTCAGCACATGATGTGATAAATAGTAACTCAGGAATGGTGAATGGTGATATGACTGCTACAGGAGACTTTACATTTCATTTCATGTGTCATTTTTGGCTTGATAGCTATTGTGGTGGTTATTAAAGAAGTCATTACCATGATTTTAAATGTTTTCTGCAATTTAAAATAACTACACTTTCAGTACATTATCTGTGTAAAGAACAGTGTGCAGAAAATTTAATGATAATAAACATAAAGAAAGAAGAAATACGCCTGGCATGACTGTATGAAATTTATTTCCTCTTTTGTCATCATATACTGTTCAAACCTGCCAAACTGTCAATAAATGTGTCACTGTTAATTTCTGTGCCTTTTTAGCACCACATAAAGAATATATATAAATATCACATGTGGTGATGTGCTATACAAATAAACCTTACTTGATTTGACGAATAAAAAAAAATGTGGTCATCATTAACAAAATGCATGTGTAATAGTGTGCTCCAGAAAATTTTCATTTAACGTTACTACTACTGCTAAAATGTGATCTTTGCATAATTTTTTAATCACATTGGGGAGTGAGAGGGGGACTCAAGGTTAAGACTGCATTCATCAGCACTACTCAAGGGAGGATCATTCTACACTAGGGAAATATTGCTCACCACAAAGCCAAATTATGTGATTTGGTGAATTTGAAATTTAATTTACTGATTAAGTAGTAAATTAAATATGAAATTTGCCTTCAGTTTTTACATTTTGTTGCAGTTATGTATGTTGTTAACTTGCCTGAATAGAGAGCAGCCAAGTTAAACACACCTCCAACATCCAATGAATACAGAATCATCAGAGCTACTGAGTCTGACAGTGGAGGATACAGCTGCCGGGGCAGCAGGGACTATTTCTTCTCAGAGTGGAGTGATATCATCACACTGACTGTGTCATGTGAGTTAGCAAGAGCACTACCTGTTGCAGCAACATATGATAAGGATGGCGCCAGTGTCCGGCAGCCTCGCCTCTGTCAGTGCACCCCAGGGCAGCTATGGCTACAATGTAGCTTGCCATCACCAGTGTGTGAATGTGTGTGTGAATGTGTGTGTGAATGCGTGTGTGAATGGGTGTGTGAATGGGTGGATGACTAAATGTAGTGTAAAGTGCTTTGGGGTCCTTAGGGACTAAATATAGTGCTATACAAATACAGGCCATTTACCATTTAATTCTGTTGTTTTTAGTGTGTATTAAATGGAGATTTCATTTTTGTGCATTTTTGTGGGTGAATTTATGACCAAACCACAATTTCTTCATAATGGAAAAACACGTTAAAAGAGTCTGCATTGATGTAATGGGATACCTCACATTAGTGAAGTTCAGCTTTATCAGTTAACATGAAAAATTTCACTTTTTTAGACACACATTTCACTGTTGTGAAAGTGCCAGGATCAATAACACGTGAAAATTTAGCCCGGGTATGTATGGCACCTCTCTTTATCAGTATAATTTGATACGTTATTCATCTATTAATGATTTTTTAAAGTGCTTATAAAACTTGATTTCGTTTGTTGCAGTCTCTCCCAGCTGTCTTCAAGTCAAGTCAAGTGACTTTTATTGTCTCAGCCATGTACACTTGTACAGTACAGAGTGAAATGAGACTGCATTCCTCCGAGACCCTGCTGCTCAAATATAACGGACAAACACAGAACTATGTAAAGTGCAGTGTAAACAAAAATAAACAAGACAAGACAGTGCAACACTAGACAGAGCAGGATGATACAGACACAAGACAGTGCAATGGAAGAAAGCAAAATGCTGAGTATTGTGCAAAAGTAACTTGGTGTCTGTAGGTGTGTGTGTGTGTGTGAGAAACTGCAGATAAGTGCTTGGTATTGACGCGTATTTAAGTGTGCATGTGTGTGTCAGTCCAATCACTGAGTGTTCAGGAGTCTGATGGCTTGGGGAAGAAACTGTTCTGTAGTCTGGTAGTGAGGGCCCGGATGTCTTAATGTGAAAAGTACTGTGTACACCCTGTTACTTGTTACAAAGTACTTTGAGATTACTTTGTATACTCTAAAAGGAAATAAAAGTATAAAGGTGCATTTATTAATCAAGCAGTTTAATATTTTTCTTTAGTGTGTCATCAACGGTTTGTAGCCCTCAGCAATGAGTGTACAGTAGTTATGCCTACAATCACCAATGATGGTTGTGAGAGTAATTATTATTGCTGGTAAACCTTGTACCAAACCTAACATGCAGACAAGTAGCAAAGACAACAAAATGTTCTCAGTGAAGTTTTCAGAGAGATAATAGTGCATTTCAAAGGTTTTGTCTGGCCTTAAAGTTCGATATGTTAAAACCCTTAACTATAACTAACAAAGAAAAAGAGTCCATCGATGAGACTCTCAGCAGCCGTAATAATCACATTACTAACTTATAACATTATAACTTGGTGTTAGCTTGATATTTGTTAATAATTTGAAGACACATGAGTCTACAGGAAAAAAATAAAAACTTTTCACAAACTTACTGTCATGGTCCTGGGCCATGTGGGCCCAGTATTCTTAGTTCCTTGTATTTTTGTATTTCGTTCCTTATTTAGGCCATGTTTCCTGAGTTGCCCTGTTGTGTTGTTCCCTAAGTGTTTTCCCTTCATGGCTTTTACCCCCTGTGTGCCCCTCTGTGTATCTGTGAGCCCTCGTCTCTCCTTATGTTTTATTCCATGTTTCCCCTGCCCGTTATGTCTAAGTTCTCCCCGTGCTCTCTCTCCTCCTGTCTGAACCTCTGTGCACTTCCTGTTTACTTTGTGACTCTCACGCCTGTACATGTCATGTTCAGTTCACCCCGCCCTGTCTCGTTATGATTATCAGTGTCACCTGTGTTCCCACTTTCCTCGTTAACCCTCTGTGTATTTCTGTCTGCGTCTCCCTCTGTTCGGCGTCGCGTTCTCCCTCATGTTGTGTGGATCTTCCTGTGTCTTCCTGCGAGTGTTAGTTTACTTTTTCCCAGTTAGTTTTGTATTTCCTGTATTCTGCCGTGCCAGCATTAAAGCTGTGTTCTTTAAGTTTATCCCCGTGTCTGTGAGTCTGCATCTTGGGTCCTTCTCCTGCCTGCCACACAACGAATCATGACACTTACGTCTGCCTGTTCCTCATCTCCCAGCATGCTTAAATTAATTTACAGGGATCACGAATATCTTTTATAAGTTCCAGTAGAGTAACAGCATGCAGGTAGAACAGAGTTGGGTTTTTTTTACTGTTTAGATATTTGTTGGTATTTACTACTTTTTTTCCCCAAAGAGTTTTGCAATAAAGTTCTCAAACTTTTACACGAAAAGCATCCAATTTTGTTTCCTGTAAATTGCATCTATTCAAAACCCTGCAAGAATACCGCAGACCTTGTGTGTTAACGTTAAATACATGGCGTTCCTCTGCTACAACCTGCCCCATTACTGGCGTGTGTTGTAACACATGCTACAGAGAATTGTAACAATTAGAAAAAAGAAGCAAAAACTGAATCCACACCAGAGAAAGTACACAAGAAGTGGTTTAGTGGAATAAAGGTTTTTGTGTTTATTTCCCTACGACTGACCATAATCCAAATTCACTCTTTTGTGTGGGTGTGCAAATTAGTTTAACAGAAAAAACTTTCACAACACCGCAAATACTTAATAAATATTTTTTTTATTATTAGTCCCATGCGAAAAAGATAAGTTTCTGTGATGGGGTGTGGTCTGCAGTGTGGCTGCAGGGGATGGGTGGACCAGTGGGTTCAGGCTGTAGTGTCACTGGAGGTCACTGGATCCTATCATTATGATCATGCATCCCCTATTTTTACGGTAGCTGCCAGGGCTGGAAGTGGAGACCGGTAGCTGAGCATGGGTCATACTTGCTACAGTCTCATTTAAAGCTTATATATTATCTGTATCAAAAATACAATAGCAGTGTGCATGTATAGTGCAGCCTTGGTGTGCCCAATGACTGCACAAATTTTACCCAAACTTCCTCCGGCTTTGGGCTGCCAAATGGCTCCATACAGACAAAGGTTTTTATCATCTGAGGTCAGAGTCTTTAGCGTTAGTTTTCATTTCTTTAACAGGTTTCTCTTTCTTTTTCGTCTGATTGCCTTCAGTTTTTCCTATGACATTCTTTTTGCATTTTTTTCTGTGACTCTGTCAGCCTTTGCAATGATTTGTAGAATTAGCTCAGTGTTATGTGGCAGATCACATGTTCTTTAGTCACTGATTTAACTGACTCGCCCTTCTTTGAGACCTCATCAGATGCTTTTTTGTTTTAAATATCAGCAGGCACACCTCAATCATTCTTTCTTTTCCACTTTCTAGGTATGCTGTAAAAGTATAAGTATATGCAAAATTAATAAACTATTCATACTTTGGGGAAGGGGGTGTTGGAACACTTTTATAACATACGTTAGAACCCACCCCACCCTTGTCAGTCATTGTTTAACTAAATGTATTTGCGTAGTGCATTAAAATAAGCAGGGGGAAAAAGCATCACAGTTTAATGTAAGTCATTTTATCTGTAGCTGTTTAATTACTTAACAAGGTTTAGTGCTGGTCAAAAAAAAAAAAACTTTCGTAATGCAAATTATCATCGGTGTATTTGTATTGTTTAGTTTCACTATATTTGTATGACAGGTCATTTGATAAAAACTGCTTGATAAGTTTGTGCAGCACCAGGACAGTATAAACATGTCACAGTACGCTGTGGCCAGATCTTGTTAAGGTGTGTTAGTTCTGTTGAAAAAGGGAAGGAAGCAGAAAGAAGAAGTGTTAAAAACTCTTTTTTCCTTCACAGCTCTTTGGTATCTGCTGTGCTGCTGCTTCACTCTCTCTCTTTACAGAAAGTTGTAGAAGTTTTCAGACGTGTCACTGCTGGATGTGAGGATGGGAGCCACTTTGCTCTGTGAGCTGGGCCTATTCTGTGAGTACATCACTGACTCCTATTGTTTGATTCATACTGATCCATAAACATGTTTTAGTAAGAAGAACAGAGCATCAGTCATTTGTACCATTGCAGGTCATGTGATCAGAGGACTCATGTTTGTTATCAACGTGGTTGTTTGTAGACTGGATTAGATTTTAGTGCACTGACTCAGATCAGAGTGGAGCTGCTTTAGTTTATCTAAGAAAGGTTTGTTTCTCCATCAGTGATAATTTGATGCTTTTGACATCCTAATATAAAATGTAATCAATCATAGTAGACACTAGTAAAACCCCAAGTGTGCCATACTAGATTATTTGAACCAATGTCTGAAGTTTCTGTCTTTATTGTAGTGCTCTGTACGCTCCTCTGCACTGGACACACTCAAGGTGACTGAACAGTTGTTTTATTTTATTTATGATTTTTTTATCTCCACATACTGCATCACTCTTTAGCATTTTATCTTTCTGTAATTCTGTATTTATTTATTTAGAACTG